CCTCTCCTTGAACCACAGCCCTAAGCAACTGATGCTAAAAGTTTCTCCTAACAGTTTTAGCTTACTGCTGTGTGTAATTATCTGCCTTGCCAACCCTGAGAAACCCAGGCCTCAAGTTGTACTGCAAAAAAAAAAAAGAATTACTCTTGTAAATGTATACATACCCGTACCCCCCCCCCCAAGAACCAGGGAGAAAAAGGGAAGGAGAAAAAAATGAGAAGAGGAAGAAGAAAAGTACACACAGGGGAACAATTGTATGTGATTCTAGTCTTTTCCTTTGCTTATTTGTGGCTCCTTTTCTTTTGAACCCTGAGTGAAAATTTTAGAAGCTGGACTTTTAAAGTTTTCTATACACATCCTTTTGACTTGAGACAAAACCTGGAAGCTTGAAACAAAGACCGGATGGGCTTTCCGATCAGTTTAAGGCCCCAATCGGGACATGTTTACCCCAAAGTTGTGGGTCTGTCGACCTCCCTGTCTTGGTTCAAACTGACCAACCCTAAAATAAGAAAAGAAAATCTCAAAGACCCTTAAAACCCCCAGCCCGCTGGAGAGGCTAGGCCTCAGGCTGCTCTGCAAAGGGTTTCTCTCTTCTCTCTCTCTCTCTCTCTCTCTCTCTCTCTCTCTCTCTCTCTCTCTCTCTCTCTCTCTCTCCCTCCCTCCCTCCCTTCGTGTGTGTGTGTGTGTGTGTGTGTGTGTATCTGTGTGTCTATGTGCCTGTGTGTCTGTGTTTTCTCACCCCCAGTAAAAGCCTTGCCTTTCTTTACCGGATAACCCTGTCTGCTGAGTCTGAGATTTTTCCTACTACTGCCTGATTCCTTGCCTTTTAATCCCTTAATTGTCACAGAAAAGGAAGGACCTGATCAAGTCCCTTAGAAGGCAGCAACCCCAGCATGGATGATGGCTTCCTCAAGTCACCATAGATGGAAGTCTTCCCCCAGCCTATAAACTAAATACCTCCTCAGACTTAGGAGGCCCTGCTAGCTGGGGCAGAATTGCACACAAATAGCTTGGAGAAGAGGACAGAATCTTGAGAGAGTGTCCAATGGCTGCCCCCGGTCCCTCCCACTATAGGGGATGTCAACAATCGACAAGCAGGGCTGTGATGATCTTTTGCTAGCAGTCCCTGGGGATCCCATGAAGATAGTGGCTGTTTTTGCTCAGAAAGACACACAAGCTCCAGGGCAGTCAGCCCATCCCAGAGCAGAGAACTGTGTGCATTATTTATACGGACACAAAAGTCAATTCAAGCTGTGAGAAGACAGCTTGTTCAAGCCAGGAAACGTCTGGTGTCCCTTCCCCAGCCTTTGTTAGCTATGAAGACTTAGGTGAACTGGATTTCTGACTCTCAGTTTCTTCACAGAAAAGCCATAACCTCCCTGGAAGATACCAAGATACTACAAAGAGATGAGTGTCCCTCACTTGGCCGTCAGGCTACAGAGACAATTATCCTGAAGGAATTTCCCCAGGGATCTTGGGCTGGGAGGAGGAAAAAGCTGAAGCCTGGGGCCAGCCAGAGGTGGAAGCTGGACCATAAGAAGAAATTTCATACAGTTCTGACAACTTGTGGAAAGCATCTTGCAGGAGAGATTAGGGCTAGGACAGGAGAACCCACACCTCGACCAGGACTGCTCAGTTGTGCATACGGTCACTTCTGTTTAAACTTAAACCTCATGTCCGTGAAATGGTTCAGGGAAGTCACGGAGACAGACATCTGGGGGTAAGAAGTTCATTACAATAGTTATAAACGCCATGAGCAGATGGACAGACAGCAGTTAGACAGGTCCTCAGAGGAGTTCAGGATCATAGAGCTGAGTCAGGAGCCTTCCTTATAGGAGCCAGCAACCAGGCCATCCCTGATTCTTCAACAGTGGTCAGTAGCCCTCTGATGTGTCAGGCCTGGCAACCTCCCCAGGAAAATCCAGGCACCTGAAGAACCTGTCAGGAAGTTTCAGGTTCACGGAGCTGCTGGGGCAGGGGAGGGGGAGGCTGCCGCAGTCATGGCCTGTGCAGCGGTCTGGTCTGCGTCCTAACACCTTGAATGAAATCCCTTGCTTTGCTTTGCACCTACCATTCCTTATATTTATTTATCTTTATTGTATGCATGTGCTTTGTCTGCATGTATGCCTGTGTGCCAGACACGCATGAGTGTGTCACATGCCTATGGAGGCCAGAGAAGGGTGTCAGAGTGCCTGGGAGTGGAGTTAGGCAGTTGTGAGCAACACGGGGGGTGTGGGAATTGAACCTGGGTGTCTGGAAGAGCAGCCAGTGCTCTTAACTGGCTGGGCCGTGTCTCCAGCCCTTCCTTTGTCTCTAATTGGCCGCTGCGGACAGGTGGCTAAATCTAGCTTGCTAGGGTTGTCTAGGGCCCCTAGACAAATATTTTAGCAAGGGCCCACAGAGAAAATTGGCCTGCTGCACAACCAACCAAACATTCCCCAAGATCTAGACACCTGTCACCTCCCCGAGTCATTCCCACACAGAACTTGTTATCACTGCTAAAAATTGCCACCAGGAACTCGTGGCAACTGTCCAGTGGTATCCCGCAACTAAGCATTAGATGAGTTCTGAGCGACCCTTCTGCAGGACATACCCAGGTATAACCAGGCTGGAAAACGGGTTGGGGTGGCGAGACGGCTCAGTGGATAAAAGCACTGGCTGCTCTCCCAGACGACCAAGAGTTGATTGCCAGCACCCACATGGTGGCTCAAAACTGTCTGAAACTTCAGTCCTGGGAGATCTGACTCCCTCTTCTCTCTTCTCTGGACTAGGCACTAATGGGGTGCACAGTTGTACATGAAGCCAAGACAACCTCACACATTTAAAGAAAAAAAAATTTAGTCCATTGGTGGTGGCACTCGCCTTTGATTCCAGCACTCAGGAGACAGAGACAGATGGATCTCTGTGAGCTCGAGGCCAGCCTGGTCTACAAATCCAGGACAGGCTCCAAAGCTACAGAGACACCCTGTCTCAAAAAGCAAACAAAACAAAGGAGGAGGAGTAGAAGAAGAAGGAAGAAAATAAATTAAGGGAGGAGTTACAATAAGGAGAAAAAATGTATGGTATGTATGTATGAAAACGCCATCATGAAACCCATTATTTCATGATTGATATGTGTGTGTTTATAGATAATATATTCATATCACACGTATTAATTTTAGACCTGCACAACATCTTGAGCAAAACAAATTGGATAAAAGCATTGTAAATGTTGTGCTTGTTGGCTCACAAATTTTAATCTTGCCTGCTGTCTTCCTCCTTCTTTCTGGTTGAGACACAGCAGATTTCACACCGCAGCACCCTGCAGTGGACAAACATGCAGAGGGTCCTAGGGGCTGCGACACCCGACTAAGAAGCTTGTCTTTTGTCGCCACCTAAGGGTAATTCTCTGTTATTACAGCTTGGGCCACTTCCTGTGTTGGCAGCGGTTTGAGGACTGGAGGACTCTGAGAAAATACTCACAGATTCCCCAAGATGCTTTGCAGACAGAACGTCTCACTGTCTGCCTGTTCTACAGTAATCTGGATCACAAAAACAAGCTGTCCTTAGTGCATGAGGCAGGTTCTTGAACGGACGGAAGGGAGGACAATCAATGGGAAGAGGGGCTGAAAAAACTAAATTAGCTTTTGTATCATTGATTTTCTAATTAGAAATCTTACCTTGAATGCTCGGGCCTTCTTTAGACTAATCAAACGCTTTAATCTCCCAGCCCCATCGGATTACCGTAAAATCAGTCAATCTCTTGAGAGGGGTTCCTGGTTTTGTTTTGTGTTTCGTTGCAGTGTGGAATTTTGAGTTATTGTGGGTACACAGGTGCATGTGCTTATGGAGACAAGAGGTCAGCCTCAGCTGCTGTTCCTCAAGACATGACCCCTCCCTGGGAGGTGGAATTCACTCCCACCTCCACCCCCTGCCTAAAAAAAAAAAAATCTGTGAACTGGGAGGTGAATTGTCAGCGAGCCTAGATTACTTCACTCTGACTCAACTGAGGAAGGACTGAACATCAGCCCTAAGCACCAGCAAGAAGTACATGGAGTTGCTGCTTTTTAAAATGCTACTAGAACATAATCCAGTGCAATAAAGTAAGAGAGACAGAGACAGACAGACAGACAGACAGACAGAGGAATTAACTTTTAGTCAGCGAGTTTCCATTCCACCAGTCTCTTGCCTTGCTTTTAGCAAAAGGAGGAATGTTTTTAAAGGAAGCTACTTCAATGATCTGGGGAAGAATAACTTTCTCTTCAAAATGTCTCTTTTTTGTTACCAAGGTAACAAGAAAAGAGCTATTCTCCAGAGTTTCCAGACTCCCCGTGATTCCTAAACGCTGCAGGAAAAAGTCCGTATCACTCCATGGGACACTGACACAGTGACTGTGACAGGAACAGCACAGCAAAGACAGAACCCTCCCCCGAGAAGACAGAGGCATCAAGCACTGCCTGGAATGACAGGGCGACGGGAGAGCCACAGAATGTCACTGGGAAGAAACAGGTCTCTGGAAAAGTAACATGGGCAGGTAGGCATTGTGTTGCTGCCCAGCCTACCCAAAACACAGCCAGGTGACTGCAGTAGCTGTCTCTGACCCACACCCCAGGGTACAGCTCCCAGTGAGGCAGAATGGCTACAAATCAATCAGCATCCTGCTGAGCAGAGGCGCCTGTTCCTGTACCTCAGAAATGCACAGGCCATGAGGCTGCAGACACCTAGCCCTAGCCACATCCCTGCCTGTGGCAGTGTTTCACCTCAGTCAGGCTCCACAGACAAGGCACACAGCACTTTGTGCAACAGGAGATGCGACACAACCCAGTCAGTGCCATTTGAAAACCTGAACCAATTAGTGCAACAAAGTATCTCCGGGTACACAGAACTTGGTCTGAACAGACAGAGCAAGTTCCAGTCCACAAAGAGACATAGATGTGAGCAGATGGAAAGGGGGGAAAAAACAGTAAGACTGGATAGATTCTTGCTATCAATCTTTATTTATGATTGCTCTTTATTCATGATTGCTCTCTGGGAAGTGTTTTGTTTTGAAAGCCAAGCTGAAAACAAGCAGTACAACACAGAGAACACACTTACTCCTTCTGCACCACGGTCAGCTCCTGTTTGCAGAGAATCAATGGGAGGTCTACTTGTGCTAAGCAATAGAAACAAACGTTAAGCAAAGACCAAGGATTGCAGGCACAGCTGTGTGCAGTCTTCACATTTAGCTTCACGTGGATACAGTGACATGCGTACCCAAGTACGCCTTGTGCGTAAGTCCTCCGTGAACCCAGGTATGCTGAGAGAAGGGTGCAGGCTTCGAGCCCAAGATTTCATCAAGTTAGTGGAAAGAATTGAAATGTGGCCTTGTGGCTCAGATATCCTAAAAGAAAGGAAACATCAGAAGACTCAGCACAATCTGGGAAGGCGTGACCACAGTTTACCAATTCTAGCCCCAAGGCAGAGAAGACAGAATACATTTCTTTCATTAAAAAAAAAAAAAACAAAAAACAAAAAACAAAAAAAACAAGCCAGGTTTGAACTGGCTGTCAGAGCTAACGTAGAAGAAAGGTAGCTCTAATTAGCTTCCCCCCCCCCCCGTTTGTTCATGGAAAGCTACACCTGCAATTAAGTAATCCCTAAGAGGGAACTTCAACAATGCAGGGTTATGTTAGGAGGCACTGCTGAGTGGCAAGCACTGGGAAGTAGTGTTTATTTACTAATTTATTTTTACGTGCGTGAGTGTGTGTCATATACATATGAGGGTGTCCATGGGTGCCAGAAGAGGAAGTCAAGTCTCTTGGAGCTAGCTTCAGGCAGTGTAGATCCTAGGAACCAAACTTGGGTCCTCTGGAAGAGCAGCAAGTGCTCTTTACCACTGAGCCATCTCTCCAGCCCGGGGAGGTAGAATTCAGTATCTGAACACTGTGTTGGGCATTGTGGCACCTGCCTTTAATCACAGCATTTAGTGGGCAGAAGCAGGAGGATCTCTGTGAGTTTGTGGGTTCTAGACCAGCCTGGTCTAAGTGGGGAGTTTCAAGCCAGTGAGTGTGACAGAATGAGATCCTGTTGCAAAAGACAAAATAAACAACAACAAAACAGAATCTGAATACTGTACACTATTGCTCCTCAGACTCAGGCACCAGTTTGGATTCTTATTCTAAACTGGACAGGAGCCTGTCTTCACTGTTCTGTTCACTGCTGTGTTCTCCAGCAGATCGAGTTTTCAAACCGAGTGAGCATGAACTCCCCAGGCACTGGGACAGGTCTGCCTCTGGAAGCTGAGTGGTTCCCAGAGACTGATCCTGCCACCAACCATGACACACTTCTGCCAAGGGTGAAGCAGAGTGTGCTGCCTGGTTCACTCTGCCACACACACACACCCCCAGGTACCTAACAGACTATTATGTGCTGAGTTCCCAACCTTACACCCTCAGAGAAACAGACAAAATGCTGTTCTTTCATTTCTATTTAGCTTTGGAATTGGGCCTGGACACGGTCTGAATAGGAAGATTTCTCTCTCTGCTGTACCATTCCATGCTCAGTATCTTTATCATCGTCAGGTTAAAACTGCATCGCTTTTAAGGAACCCTGCAAGCGGCGTGAGTATCGGTGGATTCTCACGGTGCTCGGGAGGCTCTGTCTCTGTGGCCATTTGCTTGGCTGCTGGCTCGATGATAAATACCATCAGTTTTGCATTCTTTTCCCAACTGTTCAGATGAAATTTCATTAAACTGCCTCTTCCTTAAATATGAGTCCAAAGTCATTCCTTAACAACAGACAGACAGCTGACCTTAAAGTAGAGGTCTGTGTGTCAACAGTCTGAACCTAAGCCATAGGGAAGCATCAAGCTGTGGCCTACGTCTACTTTGTAACATAAACAGAACATAATAGTTTTATTGTCTAAATAATAACACTGTGACAGAAATTCCCACCAACTCCAAGGAAACATATTAACCCCCTTTTTCTTTCTCTGTGTAGCTCTGCCTGTCCTGGAACCCATTCTATAGAGTAAACTGGTCTCAGAACTCACAGAGATCTTCTTGTCTCTGCCTCCCAAGTGCTGGGATTAAAGGCGTGGGCCATCACTGCCTGCCCATGTTAAACCATCTTGATAACAGCTTCTTGTCCGTGAGAATGTTGAGGGAGAGTATCCATGCTGTACACACACACACATACACACACACACGTATGTGTGTGTGATATAGACAGGAAGGAGACTAAAACACTTTTCAGGTTTCTTCCTTTGGTTGGTTTTTGTTTTGCTTTAAAGTTGTGGCAGAAAAACAGTGAGGAAGCTCTGAAAAACTCCTCTGCCTCAGACTGGGTCACAAGGACTACGGGAGCCACAAGCTGTCCTTTGCAGACATGTTGTCCTTGTATCCTGTGGAAGCAGCCGCTGTCGCTGCACAGTGTAGAGGAGGAAATGTGTGCACACTAACCCACCTCTGTCAGCATGCTCCTTTCCCCATCATGCGCTAGTGCCAAGTTCTGGACACCGGAGTCTGAAGCCCTGCGGTGCCCAGAGCGGTCGGCACAGGTGTGTGTGAGAGGTCACACAGGCCGACAGGGACCAAGCCGCTCAGCCCCAGAACTGTGCACCTACCTGGGGAAGGTGAAGAGCCGGCCTGAAAGGCCTAAGAGTCTTCCCCTTCTCCTGCTTCTTCCTCAGCTTCGGCCTCTCCCTCTGCTCCTTCCTCTGCTACCTCTTCTGTCTAGTTTGTACAAAAATCACAGCATTACTGAGATGCATAAGGACACAATGGGAATAAGATGCCAGACCAGAGCTGGGAACTCATAAGGTCACACAAAAGAGACAGAGCAGCTGAAGACATCTGACACCGACCTTCAGTCACCACATATACATGCCTTCATACATGAGTACACACACAGGTACACATACACACACATACATACACACACACTATATACACACACATACACACATGCACACACACACATACATGCACATACACACACATGCACACACACATACACACACATACATACACAAACATACACACATGCACACACATACACACACATTCATGCACATACATACACACACATGTACACACGAACACACACACACACACGAGAGGGATGTAGCAAAAGCAACACTGGTTCACCAACAGATGTTTCCACTAAGCTGATGAAACCTGCCGCTAAAGATGGCAGACCGTACCCCTTCTGTTTTCCTCTCTCCCTCTTCTCCGTCTTCCTCCTTAGTCCACAAAGAAAAAAGACTGGAGTAAGATTTAAGTTGGATTTGTAAAGTAAACAAACTATAATAAAATGGAAGCTCATTGAAAGAGCAGGACATTACTTATCCTCAAGGTGTGTAGACAGCAAAGCTATGATGATCTAACACCATTCACGTCAGAGATGCAAGCAAGCAATTAAGTTTTTTGACCAAAATGAAAATGTCTTTTCTGTCTTTATAGCCTTACAAGTGGGCCTTTGCTGCAGCTACAATACAGCTCATGGAAGTCAAAGGCCAGTGAGAGGATGATTACATCATTTCCCCTTCCCTTCTCTCCAACTCCTCCTATGTCCCCCTCCCCCGTTTTCTCTCGTTCAAACTCATGGCTTTGGCATGGCTGTTAGGCTACAGACCTTAAAAGGCACTGTCACTTTAGGAGAAGGGATGTGACCACCCTGGGTACAGCAGGCCATCGCCTGTCTCTCTTGGGTTGGAACCGCAAGCAACACCATCGTGGACTTGCACACACCCTCCCTCCAGCAGCTGGGACAAGTCCATCCCCCTGATGCCCAGACTCCAGGGTGACTTTATTCTCTTATTTAACCCCTTCTGGCCTTCTGGCTCCCAGCCCACAGGCTGGACCACATGGTAGGGAACTGGTCTACTCTTCCAACCCATCCCCAGGAACCTATGAGAACTAGAAATCCCCTTTGTTCCCTACATCAAAGATTTTCCCATGTGGAGACCCCAGAGGCCATTGTTCCCTTGATGACTCTCTCCTGGAGTTCCTACTAAACATCTCCTTTATAGTTTAAAACAATGGCGGAAACCCGTCCCACGGCTGCCTACCATCTGGCTTCCCTCCTCCTCCCTCCTTACTCAGCAAAACTGAATCCTATGAGATTCCCCAGCAAGCCGCTCAAAATCAGGTTTTCGGGAAAGACGTTTCCTAACCCAGAAGGCTGAATTGCAGGCCTGAGATCCACTCCCACGGCCGTCACTGGCTGTTCCGCGTGCTCCCTGTGAGTGTGATCTGTCCCTTGTTTATTTTCGGGATCTCTAGGATCCTGCTGCTGGTGGAACCAAGTGCTAAATTCTATAAACACAAGTAAGTGTCTGGGAGCAGAAACACATCCCTGCTATCTGCCTCTCAGAGAACTTGCATTTTCTCTTTATCCTCGGGTCATCAGATTAAACGCCATTATATGCACCATAGGGCTATCAGTTCTGAAGAGTGTCTCGCGTTCATAAAGCCAAGAACTTTACGTATCCAAGTGAAACAAGGCGCCATTAAAAATGGGGCAACCACAGGGCCAGCTTGGATGACGGTGGGGGATGTTTTACTACAGTAACCGCTGGTCTCAACCTTAGGTAACTATTAATAGCAGAAGAGGGACCCAGCCCTCCTTACCAATTCTTAAAAAGTCCTTAATTTCCTGGACTACACACTCACTGGAGAAAGTCACCTGCTAAGAAGTCTCCTAGAAATAGCCTCTAAGGCCAGGCAGTGGTGGCACACGCCTTTAATTCCAGCGCTCGGGGAGGCTGAGGCGGGTGGATCTCTGTGTCACTGGGAACTTGAGGCATGAAGCCCGGCGGCCTTGGGAAGGGAACTCACTGAATTCAGCGTTCAGGGGACCTACAAGTCCCAGCAAGTCCGAAATGTGCACAGGACCTGCTCCTAAAGAGATTTGATGCTCAGGGACAGCGAGATGATAGATGATGTGGAGATTATGTAAGCATCAGGGGTAACGTGAGTGGGGACTCCGTAAGGGATGGTGGGAATGTGGCTGGCGAGGCCTTGGGGTGGCATTGGCTGCCCAGGAGCCTTGTGGGTTGGTGTGGACTGCAGGCCTCCGGCCTAGCCTCCCTATGGGAGAGTTTCAGTTCGAACATTATGAGAATTTTTACAACTGGCACATGTGTGTGCGTTGGCTCTCGTCAAGGTAAAGTTTTCTTACAGGAAGAAAAGGCCAAATTGTTTTGAGTCGTGCTTGTTGCCTGCTGGTGCTCTTCGTCTGAAAATCTCAAAGCCCTGGGCTTTGGTGACACATGGTTGAAATCTCACCACCGTGGCGGTGCTCCTCACAAAAGTGACCTCTGTCAAGGCCATCGTGGATGAAAAAAGCTTTCGGGCCCAAGACGCAGGGGACACGGCCAGTTCTCTCTCCTGCCAGTTCTAGGGCTAGCTGTCCTCTCAGACCGCACTGGCAGGCCTCAGCAGCATCGTCGACACCCATGTCTGACACTCGTCACCACTGACACCTGCCCGTGGTTATGTCCTGTGCCATGCCAGTGGCCCAAATCTTGGCTAAGTTCCCAACAGAAGCAGCTGCCGTGAAGGGTCTAAGATGTCTCGGTCCCCATGTCTGCTCCTGGTGGCTCCTACGGAGAGCTGCATTGTGCCGCTGGAGTTTCTTTCCAGCCCAGCGCCACAGACGGTTAGCCCCAGGTGAACACACAAAGGCTTGTATTGATTTATAAACTGTTGGCCGATGGCTAGGGCTTCTTGCTGGCTAGCTCTCTCTTAGTTATTCACCCATAACTACTAATCTATGTATTTCCACATGGCTTTATCTTACCAGAGAACACGTGGTGTGTCCTATCTTCCTGGTCTCTCCATGGCGTGTCCTCATGGCCTCTCTCTCTGCCTTCCTGTCCCCAACCTTCTCCTGGCCTGATAGTCCCACCTATATCCCTGCCGGGCTATTGACCAATCAGAAGACACTTTCGGCGCCGGTTCGCGCCCTGTCTGCAGTCCTGTGAGCACCTGTCACCTGACGTCATTGGCCCAGCACCCACTGCTCTCTTTATAACGCTATTGTCTATGTATTTAATTTTCTAACCATAACATTGAGTCCAGGCAATGTGCGTGGTTGGCCTTTTAACAGCTGCCTCGTTGAGATTTTTGTCTAGCCCTGTGAGCTTATGTTGGAAAGCTTTTGAAATTAATATATTGGACCTCAGCTTAGGAAGGATTGGAAGCAGGAGTGGTATTTGATAAATATATTCAGTTTTATGGGTCAATTGAGCTACTGCCCTATGCCGGGCAGTAGAACCCCAGTGATTAGGAGGGAGCGAATGGGAAGGCAAAGTCCTACCCTGATGGGGCACTTTGAAGTGTGTGTGTGTGTGTGTGTGTGTGTGTGTACACACACACACACACACACACATATATATATATATATATATATATATATATATTTTTTTTTTTTTTTTTTTTTTTTTTTAAGGCAGGGTTTTTCAGTGTAGCCCTTGCTGTCCTGGAGCTTGCTCTGCTAACACTCGAATGCCCTGGCCCTTTTCCCCCAGGAGGCTCACAAGGAGTTATTCATCTCTCAAGTCAAGGAATGAGGGCCCGTGTCCGAGCAAGAACACGAATGTGCCCATCACGGACTGCTTCCCACCACGCCCGGTTGAGGGTCCTCCCTCTGGCCCCCTCAGCACCTGGTCCACAGCAGTTAAAACAGGAATGACAGCAGCTGGTTCCCTCCAGCTATGCTCTCATCAGCACCCACTTTCTTTCTCGAAGCTGTGAGCTCAGCACCTTACAGGAGTTCAGTGGTTGACAGGTGAGGCAAAACCATTGTGAGCTGAGCAAACACTCACATTCTTCTCTTGGGAGTCGCTGTCCTCTTTGTACGCCTCACTTTCCGGGCCTCCTTCGGCCTTCTCTGCCCCCTGTTTAGGAAAGAAACTCAGAACCACTGACCTTCCTCACCACCCCCTCCACCCCACCCCCAGCCGAAGGAAGCTCCCAAGGGAACAGCTGGCCACACCTGCTGTGTGGCTTTTCCCACTTCAGCCACGTCAGGTGAGTGAAGCTAACAGACACCTCCTCTAGGCGCGGTCATTTAGATGCTGACACAAGCTCCCCAAAAGCTCTAACAGACTGCCTGCACGCTGCAGCCATAAACTACTGAGTGAAGGGTGACAGATGCGTAGACGGATGAATATAAATGAACAAGGTAGACAGGTAAAGGGACGGGTGGACGGAAAGTAGATAAAAGGCATGACTGATAATAATTGATAATAGGTATATGGAGAGATATAGTATAGATAATAGGTAGATGGAAGACAGATGATACAGAGAAATGGTAAGTATTGATAGATGATATATAGGTAAGTGAATAGATGATAGATACCCAGAGAGAGAGACATAGATAGACAAAAAAAAAAAAAAAAAAGAAGAAGAAATGTTATGCCCGTGCCGCCACCCTGAGGACGCTGGCAGCAACTGCCCTTACCTCTGCAGCGCCTTCTGCATCTCCCGCCACATCTCCATTGGGAAGGGAGGACGCTTCCTCAGACTTTGTCGCCTACACCAAATAGTTGAAAACACTTGAAAATTCTCTTCGGGACAATGACTCTCATTCAGGGTTCACCTCACTCACTGCAACAGTGGGCCCCACCTACAGATGAAGTCATTGCCACCCGCACTGCAGTAGCAAGAGTATAAAAGCTGTGGCTGGGGAGAAGGCTCAGTGGTTAGGAGCTGCTCTTGCAGAGGACACGGCAGCTCACAGGCATCCATCATGCCAATTCCGGGGATCCGGCGCCCTCTTCTGGACTCTGCGGGCACCAGGCGTGTCCATAATGCACAGACATATATGCAGGCAAAACACCCATACACTTAAAATAAAATTAAGATAATTTTAAGAGCCTGAAAGCAGACAGCATCATAACACAAGCTCGGGACAGAGCCACATCAGAGCCCCCACATGATGATCGTAATGAATGAAATGCCCACACACACACTTTGTAAAACATCAGGCTATCTTCATGACAAACACTTTCCAAACACACCCTCTGTTGCCATCCTCGTATGACAATTAGTCTTCAATATTTGCTATGTAAGCGTCATTCTGCTACGTACTAGCTATTGAGTGAATTTGTTACTTTCCTGTTTTTGTGGGCTTTGAAACAAAAACAAAGGCATGCTATGCCTCACGACTTTTTAGCGTAATATTTATCCAGGTGAAGTAAAACCATCCTAATCCATTTTGTTTAATATTAAGCGCATGATAATTTATTCAAATATATTCTCGTTGATGGATCGTCAACATGTTCCCGTGTCTCTGACTCTATGGCTAACAGTGTAGTATGGAAAATTAAAATGGTGGGGATATTTTTATCAGGCTTCCTTTCTAAAGGTGTGATATTCCTCTGTAATACATGAACATCCTCCTTTTCTTTAGCCTCGTGACCAACTGACACAGTTGTGCTTTTGAATGAGTATGAGTGTGTTTGTGGAAATAGAGTTCTGTCTGTCCTCACATCTCTTTGGTTACTAGAAAGAAAGGGCATGCATACTTTTAATCACTTGCATTGTCTTTTCAGACAATTTCGTTTGTACCTTGACCATTTTCCTTGAGTTATTTCTAAAGGTTTTGGATGGGTTTTTGAGAAGGGTCTCACTATGTAGCCCAGCTGACCTTGGAACACTTCACCAATTTGTGTGACATCCTTGCCCGGGGGGCCATGCTAAGCATCTCTGTATCGTTCCAATCTTAGTATTTGTGCTGCCCAAGTAAGCACGGGTTTAGCTTTTTGTGAAGACAGATTTATCTTAATTTTTTTTTCTATAGAATATATTAATAGTTCTGTACCTTCTTTGTTATTAAAATATAGCCTTCTAATCCATCTATGATTTAATTTTATATATGATGTAAAATAACAGGTTGGGGCTGGGGTTATAGCTCATAACAGAATATTTGCCTGGCATAAATGAGCTCTAGGCTCAGTCCTGAATACGATTTTTAGAGTTTAAAGTCAATGTCCATGTGGTGGTCTGTATGAGAAATGTCCCCCCATAGGCTCCTGTGTGTGAACACGTGGTCCTCTGTTGGTGGCTCTGAGGTTATGATACCTTTAGAGGGTGGAGCCTTGGTGAAGCGAGTAGTCACTGGGGATTACCTTTGGGGGTTTACAGAGTTGCCCAACTTCCAATTTTCCTAGTTAGGGTTTCTATTGCTGTGAGGAAACACCAAAAGGCAAGTTGGAGAGGAAAGGGTTTATTTGGCTCACACTTCCAGTTCACAGTCTATTCTGGAAGTCAGAGTAAGGAATGCAGTGGTCAGTGAAGAGGGTGAAGCCCATCTCTACCTAGAACTCCATATTCATGGCTGAGCTTTGTCAGCATGCACTGGTTATATACAGTCAAAGAGGAGATGCATTGGTTAGACATAGTCAAAGAAGAGATGCATTGGTTACACATAGTCAAAGAAGAGATGCATTGGTTAGACATAGTCAAAGAAGAGATGCATTGGTTATACATAGTCAAAGAGGAAATGCATTGGTTATACACACAGTCAAAGAGGAGATGCATTGGTTAGACACAAAAAGGAGTCAACACTAAAGAGAAACACTGATGAAAGCTATACTGTGCTTGATTCTAGAGCTCACTTTCTGTCCCCTTCTTATCAGAACAAAAAAGCAAATCCATGTTAAGTAGAAATCACTAGACTGAGGGCAGATACAGAGTATGCGTTCAGGACTAGATGAGAAGTCAGTTGTGACAATGTAACTTCACAGTCACACAAGTAGCTGGGTACATTTTTGGGCCTCGTGCATGGACGGACTTGTGTAACTCAACACAATGATCTACACCTTTCCCACCCTTTCCTATTCTTTTCTCCAATGCTCAGAACTGAACCCAGGGCCTCCTCCTAGCTGATCACACTGAGCTGGCCCCTCAGAGTCACCCTTAGCCTTCATGTTTCATTTGTTTGTTTTTTTTGGGGGGGTTGTTTTGTTTTTTGTTGTTGCTGTTTTCTTGACAAAGGATTTCTCTGTGTAGCCCTGGCTGCCTTGGGGACTCTCTCTGTAGACCAGGCCAGCCTTAAACTCAGACATCCACCTGCCTCTGCCTCCTGAGTGCCTTCATGTTTCTTAAATATTATAAAATCATAACTGAAAAATTATCTGGTTGAAACCTTTGTATTGTATCTCTGCATATAATTCCTCAATGAAGACACACACACACTGAAATGGTATAGAGAAAAGCAGAGCCCCATAGAAGGGTGACATGTAAATTCATGATGCATTCTATGAATCTTTTTTTTTAAAAAAAAAAAAAAAAACCACGTGTTGGCTTAGAGCACCACTGACGAGCACCAGTGATTGCCAGTTCCTGTCATCTTTTATGATAGCCTGTACTGGACCCATACTGGGCGTTCAAGCTTACCTTTGACCCTGGAGGGGGAGCCAAGCCAAGGAATGAATAAATAATATTTTCTTCTTTTGCAGAGAAGAAAGAGTCAAAATCCTTGAAGCAAAGAAAGAGAATACTTTAAACCGTTATGCACTTGGCAGCTGGATATATATATATATATATATATATATATATATATATATAGTGAACCCAGCCCCCTTATCTGTCAGTCATCAAATGTAAAACATCCTCTTGGCTTGCTTTGTTAACTGATAACTAAGCTGTAAAGCTATGAAACAAAGCAAAGGAACAGAGAGAGAGAGAGAGAGAGAGAGAGAGAGAGAGAGAGAGAGAGAGAACTGAGGAAAGATTGCTGGAGGGCAGGGGGTGATTAGGGACAGGTACACAGAGCCTGTAATGACAAGATGTAGAGAAGCCTTTTCCCCACATTTGCAGTCTGTCCTCCCCCACTTTCCTGAATACCAGGGACATCCACATCTAGATTAACGACTCATGCCAGTGACTGACTCTTCTTCGGTTGTGCCCAAGCCTAGGCAGTTACCCCAGCCCGATTCAGCTTGTCATTGGCAGACATGCCTGCTACTTCCGGCAGGAATTCCCTCCTGGGCGGCCAACCTGGCCTTGACTGTGCCTGGCTGCCCACCTGGTGTTGTCTTTCTCTGATACCGCCTGCCATGGCTCTCGGCTGGACAGCTTCATCTGCTCTACACAGCAGATGCACAGGACTCCCAGACACCCGGAGCTCGCGCGTCCTGGTGCAGAGACAGATACTGCTTGCCCTGCCCCCACACCTGCTGCTGCCATAGGGCTCAGGACGGGGCTGACCACATGAACCAGTGAGACCACCTGAATGGCCACGTTTTTATTCCAAACATGGGGAAGGACACGGCGACAGCATCTTAGAGTTTCTCTTGCCGTGATGAAGCACCATAACTGGAAACTACTTGGGGAGGAAAGGGTCTATTTCAGCTTGTGCTTTCAATCTATTAGAGGGAAGTCAGGACAAGGAACTCAAACAGGGCAGAACCTGGAGGCAGGAGCTGATGCCATGGCTTTTTCTCCATGGCTTGCTCAGCCCTGCTTTACAGCACCCAGGACCACCTGCCTGGGGAGGCACCACACACCGCAGGCTGGACCCACTTAAAACAGTCGAGAAAATGCATCACAGGTTTGCCCATAGGCCAATCTGGTGGGGCATTTGCCAATCTGGCGGGGCATTTTCTTAATTGAGGTTCTCTCTTCCCAAATGACTCTAGCCTGTGTCGAGCTGACATGAAACTAGCCAGTTTATGCCATTTTATTTTTATTTCATGAGTGTTTTGCCTGCATGTCTGTCTGTACACTGTGTACACGCCTGGTGTCTGCAGGGCCCAGAAGAGGCTATCAGATCCCCTGGGACTGCAGTTAACAGCTGGTTGAAGCTACCAAGTAGGTAGCTCTGCAAGAACAAACAGAGATTTTAATTGCAGAGCCACCTCCCCAGCCACCCTGGCATCTCCAAGGGTTTCATGAAGCCGAGTGGACAAATGGTTTCCTAAAATATATTAATAGAAGAGGTTATATAGTGAGATTGCTCTGGCCCCGGCCCTTGCTCCTATATTTAGAGGCTACAAATACACACAGAACGTTTCAAACAAGAAGTTACCGACACTGGCTGCCTCCAAGCAGGAGCACCTACTTTATACTTTGAGGCCAGGGCAAAATAAATCCACCGGGCCCTTGGCTTAAACATGGCTAAAAATTCACACACAGTAGCAGAGAATTAGGCCAAGGACAGAGCCCTTCTGAGAGAAAGCCCCCGTGACCTCCCAGATGGGCGCGTGGAGCTAGCTCAGCTAGGAGGACTGTAGATAACCGTGAAGACCCTGTGAAATCATTTCATCTTTCAGTGTGTGCAAGTATGGGTTTCTCTAACTTCTCTCGTATTGAAAGGCACTGGTGTGCTGGAGAGATGGCCCCGTGGTTGAGAGTGTTTGCAGAAGACTTGAATTCAGTCCCCAGCAGCCTCATCAGATGGATCACACCACCTGCAATTCCAGCTCCAGAGGGTCTGAAGCCCTCTCCTGGCCCCTGAAGGTACTTTGTGCATACACACATGTGCACAGACGGGTGCATGGGTGCAAGCACACACAGAGAGATAAATTTCAAAAGTAAAAGTAAGTAAATTTTATCTTATTTTAAAGGATCTATTGCAGAAAAAACAAAATTCCTCGCCACCATAACCGTCTCCTGCATTAGCCTTCTCTTTGTGGGAGTGGAGTGGAGAATGGATTCTCTCATCTTTTATTATTTTGATTTCATATATTACTGTGGGAGGTGAGCATGCCACCGTGCATGTATGGAGGTCAGCAGACAGCTCCTGGGAGTCCTCTTCCAACCATACGGGGTGCAGAGACAGGGCTCAGGTCATCAGGCTTGGCAGGGGTGCTTTGTTGTGGAATATTAATTTAAGATGTGTTACATTTGTTTAAGGATGCAAAGATGTGTTGCATTTTTTTTAATGTTGCATTTGTTTAGCTCTGTAAAGCTGTGTTATTTTTCCCTGTCCGAAACACCTGATTGGCCTAATAAAGAGCCAAACGGCCAATAGAGAGGCAGGAGAAAGGATAGGCAGGGCTGGCAGGCAGAGAGAATGAAAAGATGGAGAAATCTGTGGGCAGGAGAGATCAAAGAGGCACAACAGAACAAGGAGAAGACAACACTAGCGGCCAGCCACACGGCCACGCAGCCAGCCGCGGAGTAAGCGCAACAATAAGATATACAGAAGTAAGAAAAGGGAAAAGCCCAGAGGCAAAAGGTAGATGGGATAATTTAAGTGAAGGAAATCTGGCTAGAGATAAGCCAGGCTAAGGCCAGGCATCCATAAGAAAGAGTTAAGTCGGGAGCGAGGGACAGGGAACTGGGATCGACATGTAAAATAATAAATTAAATTAAAAAAAATGCTTTGACTCCAAAATTTAAGTTGAAGGACAAGTTACTGGGGAAAAGGATTTCTATTTTTGTTTCCACAGAAAATGAAAAGATGTGGATTCCTTCCAGACTAATGTGGTTTGATCACGCCAGACCGCCTGAAACAGAGTACCAGGTGATCCTACTTTCAAAACAGCTGGACAAAGCAGCCCTACAGACTACAGCCAGGATTTCTGCATCTTCTTCGAATCCCCCATGACAGCGCCCCTTACCAGCAGGAAGTAGTTTGGAAAGAACGACGCCCAAATTCCCAAATATTGTCTATAAATGTTTGTTTTCATTTAATTGGACTTTTATATAAAATTAAATAAAATAATAATAAAAAATAAAGAGTTAAGTCTCTGTGTGTAATTATTTTGGGAGCTGGGTTGCAGGCCCCCAAAAGAGCAAAGAGGAAAACCAACAACATCCATTTGCCCACTGAGCCACCTCACTGGATGGAGGGCTCTCTTCACAGAAGAAAGCCTTTCTCCGCTCTGGGAGGCCCCAAGTAAAAGCTCCCCCATATCATGTACTGACCACATCAGGCTGAGAGCACTCTCACCCACCAGGCTTTTTTTTAGTAAGCCTCTCAAGAAGCTAATCTAGCCTTGCAAATTCCTGCAGTCCCGCGCCTCTCCCACAAGCCCTTGTCCACCTGGAACCCCAGAAAGCGACCTTATTTGGAAGTAAGGTATTTGCAGCTATAGTGGCTGTGATAAGACCATAGAGTCTTTTCCAGTGACTTCCATCCTTACAGGAAGGCCCTGTGGAGGCTCTGTGTGTACGCAGGGAGGATCCCAGAGGCCAGCCACATCTGGAATACTTCTACAAACCAAGGACTGCTGGCAAACCTGAGAAACTAGGGGGAGAGAAAATGGAACAGGCTCTCTTTAAGAATTTCCAGAAGGCCCCAACATGCACCAGTATGATCGTGGCCTGTGAAAGCATAAATATCTGATATTTTTAAGCCACAGAGCGTGTGGCAGTCCATTAGTGCAGCTGCAGGCAGGCAACCTAAGTCCCTTAGGAGCAACAATTCATACTTCAAATGAGAGCCCAAAAGCTATTGTGCAGAAGAGCAGACAGTGAGTCTGGAGACAATGACCAATCAATGACGGGCTTGCCTTGCAAGCCTGGGGCCACAAGTTCCATCCCCAGAGCCCATTTAAAAGAAACCCAGGACCTCAGTACCACAGAGGCAAACACAGGTGGATCCTAGCACCTACTGTCCAGCCTGGGCAAGTCCCGTGTCAGTAAGAGACTCCCATCTCAAACAAGCAAGATGGACAGTGCTTGAGAAACAAAACCCAAGACTGTCCTCTGGCATGCAGCCACGCCTACACAAGAACACACACACCACACACACAAGACCATGTGGTGAGTATGTTGGGCTGTGTGCTTGTATGATCTTGGTTCCCAGCGCTGAGCCAGGTGACTGGTGAATGAATTCTTGTGGGTGGGATCTAGTGAGACTGAGGCATTCAACAGCAGGGGTCAGCCTGTGTCTGGTTAACGCAGATGGAGAGGACAGACAGCTCTCCAAGGCAGGAGCACAGATGTGACCACATATCCCGCACCTGGGCCCAGATCCCAGACGCAGCGCACCCGGGACAATTCCCTCTGCTTGACAGCACCCTCTTCCCCCATAGGAGGAAGGACCCGCTGTATGTATGCCCACTTCTCATAGCAAAAGTCCACGGGCTTGTTTTTGTTCTTTAATGGTTCCTTTCAGCAATCTGCTTTCTTATGCAGAACCTGTAAAGTCTGTGGAAGGCGGCTTTATGTTGAAATAAACTCTGAAGTCCTTCAAATGAGGGTGTCAGGCCAGCGCACTGTCTCAGCGTGTAAAGTCTGACATGTACGACAATAAGAGCTTAATCCCCAGAACCCATGGGGAAGGAGAGAACTGACTCCCAAAAATTTCGTCTGACCTCCACACCCATATGCCATGGCTTGCACACAGCCATACGCGTACACACACACACACGTACACACACACACACACACACACACATATACACACACACACAAAATAAAGGTGATTTAAAAAATTAAATATAAATGAAAATTGCCATTGTCATCAAATGCTCAGAACACATTTAAACTAACTGGGTGAGTTTGAACAAATTCACCCTGTTTTTGGCATGAGGACTGCCCGTCTGCTAGTCAATTTTTAAGAATTTATCTACCATAAATACCCTTCCCTGATAATGAGATTGATGACTGACTTATCTACCACCATGGAGCCCTCATCTAGTACCTGATGGAAACAGAAGCAGAAACCCACAGCTAAACACTGAGCCGAATTGGAATCCAGATGCAGAGATGGAAGACAAGACCAGGCTACAGAGACCCACACAGACAGCTGACCTGAACAAGAAGGAGCTAATGGGCTCCCAGACTGATAGCTGGGAATCCAGCATGGGACTGACTCAGACTCCCTGAACATGGATCGCAGTTACAAGGCCTGGGCAGTCTAAGGGACCTCTGATGGTGGAACCAGGATGCATCCCTGGTGCACAAAAGGACTTCAGGAGCACATTCCCCATGGAGGGATACTCCCTTAGCTTAGAGACAGTGGGGAGGGCCTAGACTCTACTCCAAATGACTTGATAGATTTTGTTCACCATTCCTGGAAGGCACAACCCTCCCTGTGGAGTGGGGGTGGGGGGAATGGGACGAGAGAGGGGATCAGGGGGCATGGGCAGGAGGGAAAGAAAGGTAGGGAGAAGAAAGGAGGGTGGAAGGGAGGGAGGGAGGGAGAGGGAACTGGGATCCACATGTAAAATAATAAATAAATAAAAGAATTTATCACTGAGTATGCACTTCCCAAGGCTAAGTAAAATCCATCCCTTTCTACCAAAAGTGCAGATTTTGTGTAAACAAATTATTTCTATCCTTCAAAATACAGAACCTAAAATGCCCCCAGATCTGCTGAATCGTTGTACAGCTTGCTCCACCAACTTCTCACTCTTAAATGTTGGATGGATAGAAGAAAGAGATCGTGACCTGGCATGTGTGAACGATCTCAAACGGCGTCTCAAAAAACAATCTGCCTTAAACAATTTCTGGCAAACAGGGAATGACCAGATGGGTCAGTGGATAAAGTGCCTGCCTTGCAACCACGGGGTGCTGAGTTCAGGTCCCCAGCACCCATGTTAGAAGCAGAGCACAGCAGCTCATGTCTGTTCATGCTGGACAGGGGACAGGGAGGGGCTGACTCACACAACTCAGCCAGCTTAGCTGAATCAATGAGCTCCGGGTCCAGTGAGAGACCCTGCCTCAAAAAACAACGTAGAAGGTGATTGAAGAAGACACCCAGTGTCAACCTCTGGCCTACATATACACACACTCTCTCTCTCTCTTTCTCTCTCTCTCTCTCTCACACACACACACGCATGGAAGGTACACACACACATGCAAACCACATACATTAATTAATTATGATAAATGCGCAAAAGAACGATGAATACTCACCCCGCAATATTGCTCTTCGTTGAAGATCTGAGGAGGCAGAGGAATCCCGTTCTGAGGCTTCTTTTCCCCGGGAACGTTCTCTCTCATCCACTTCCGGTTGTCTTCATCCCCAGCTATGTCCAGTTCCTTAAAGTCTATCTTATTGGCTTCCAAAAAGCCCACGACTTCTTGCTGTTTCTTCCTTATCTGGTGAAGGGCAGAGGAAGATAATCATTACTGCGTTATAATGCTGTGTTACGGCTGCTTTTGAATCCTGCTTTGCTGACACGATTACACTTCAGTCATTTCCTTTCAGCTGAACTACACAGCACAAACAATTGTGTGCAGCATCAAAACAAAGGGAACAATCAAGCCACGCCCTTCTGTTAGACAGGACCAACAGAGGGGCAAAGGGTCCTGGCACAAGTAAGTTCCTGACACTATGCTAAGCGCTGTTCCCAGCACCTGCCCCCCCACCAAGGAAACAGAAGAAACGTTTGCCCTTGGACTCACCAAACACCACTTAAAACAATCTCCTTGGACTGTCTGGAACAAGATGGGGAGGCCTGGCCTGGGAGCTCGAGAGAAGAAAGGGTCCTAGAGTCAAGCTCAGAGCGGGAAGGAGGGGGCAGGTGGGTACCTATCTTATCCTCCCCCTGGTGGGACCTTGCTCAAGTACTCTGACTGGGCCTTCCTCCCAAAGGGCTGCTCGTCTCCAGGTAGCCTCCTGAGCTGACCCCCATGCACACAGCCACAGAGGGCTCCTCCCCTTCCTGACCGGGAGAGGGAGAGTGGTCCTCGAGGCACCCCAGCAGATCTCCTCAAGACCTCACATCTTCCCCGAGTCCCGCTGAGACATCAAAGGCCCTGCTGCTTCCACAGGCCACACTGGCTGTCTGTCCTGAGGGATAGGTCTGCAGGACCTGGAGATCCCTGGGGGCTGGGTCACTGTTTGGAGCCTTGGGGACCTCGGTGGAGGCTAGAACTCTTTCCCTATCCTGTGTCGTTTAAACGTTGTCTCTGTCCTGAGGTCAACCAGTCACTGTTGGCCACTCCAGCGTGACTGAGAATCCACAGCCACACCTCCCAAAGCCCTTTACTTGACACCTCTCCTTTATTGTCTGATACAGTGAGGAGACTTTCCAAGTGACGTCACCATACTGTAGCGTGAAGCCTGCCAGATGGGCTTATGTCCTAGCTCCAACGGTGCTGCTCTCAGGCAAGGGCTCGGGACTCTGATTCCCTCGTCTGCAAAGCAGACACAGAGACACCTTCCTCTGGGGTGTTGGCGACAACGCGGCGGGACCATGTGTGGCCATGTATTCTGTGTGGTAGCCGAGCGCCTGCACACGCTGAGCAGCCAGCACATACCATTCTCTCCCAGTTAGGCTGGCCATGCCAGCATGTGGGGATTTCACTCTTGGGGTATTGCTTGGGGACAGGGTCTCACCACAGTCCGAGCTATGTAGCCCAGGCTGACCGGAAAAAAAAAAAAAAAAAAAAAAAAAAAAAACCGCATGCTCTTCCTGCTTTGGCCTCCTGAGTGCTGGGATTACAAGTGTGCTACCATGCCTGGTTTGCCAGATACATGCTCTCATTGCTACTTGTAGTGGGATATTCACTTTGTCTCCTTCTGTAGCACTGACCACGCCCATTGGTGGGTGGAGCCAGGGGCGGACGTTAACAAGTTTGCAATGAATTGGTAGGTTTCCCAAGACTGACACCAGGATCAAAAAAATTTTTTTTTCTTTTTGGGGGTTGGATGGGGGGTGCTGGAGGGAGAGAGAGCTCAATGGATGAGTGTTTGCTGCACAAGCAGAAGTTCAGATCCCTGAACGGGAATAAAAAAGCAGGGTGTGGCCACACGCATCCATGTACCCACAATCTGTGGGGAGCAGAGAAAGGATGGCTCCTGGGGCTTGTAGGCTGCTGGACTCGCTCCCAGCTCAGTGAGAGACCCCGTCTCAAGCGACTAAGGCTGGTAATGATAGAACAGGACGTCCTCCACTGGTCTCTGCGTGTGTGTGCCAATGCATGCATATATGCACACACATGATCACAAACACACGTGCGCACATGCGCACAAGAGTCCCGTTTTTCCTGTCACATTTACACCGTCAGTCTAGTGGGAGAAGGGACTCAGAGAGCTGGAAGTCCCCATTGTCTGTCATAAGGGTTGTCACGGCAGGGAATGAACGCCTTGGAAACAGTAAAGACTATCCTCTCTCCTCTTCTAGAAGCGGCAGCCTTCTAGAAAGGAAGGGGGCGAAGACACCCTTTCCTGCTTCCCGTGTCCCCTTAGGCCAAAATCCTCTCGAGCATGGTACAACGTGGCCCAGATCTTTGAATGTAATTGCTACAATGGGGCTGATGCATAGCATGTATTCAGTTCCTATCAAAGAGATCGCTGGCTATTTTTCTGTTGGGCCAGAATTCATCTATCTCCTGAACATGTGACCTCGGAGACCACCCGACACACGTGTAGTAGGAACGTGAGTAGCCCTTGCACAGTTTTCCTGCCAAGGAGCTGTTGGGTGAAACTCCCCATTCCTGAACACTCGGCGGCACAGATGTGGGGTGGTGATTTCTCAGTTCAGTCTAAGGTGCCCTTCTGCCTCCTTGACTTTAGACAGTTCTTCTAATACATAATGATCGTAGCCCTAGAGCTACTAAAACCAGTTGCCAATAATCACAGTAACTAATAATGATGACAACTACAATGCTCATTAATATCAGTTAATGGTGGCTAATAAGAATTAGAATGGCAACTTACATGAACAGCTGCGATGACTACACAAAACTTTACAAGTCAGGCCCTGGCACGGTGCTGGGCACCCGAGTGTGGTGCCTCAGGAGTCCTCATGACCCAGCTATGAGGTGAACACTATTCTTATCCTCATTTTACAGACAAGGAAATCGAGGCTCAGGAAGGAGAAATACCTCCTCCAAGGTTACAGAGTTACAAGCTGCACTGAAACATTTGCCTAAGGAGTCACAATTAACTCAGCAACTCTGAGACCCTGAGAGAAGGGAGACCCTCCAGAATCTCCAAGGCCAAAACAGACTGCCAGGCTTCTAGAATGCAGGACCATAAACAAAACAAAGAAGTCTGTGGGTTTAATCCCTGTTGTCTAAAGAATATAAACAACCACACAGTCAGAACAGAGAAGAGGCTGAGGCTACAGCTCAATGGTTAAAAACACTAACTGCTCTTCCAGAGCATCTGGGTTGGATTCCTCATGGTGGCTCACAGCCAACTGTAAACCAGGCCTGAGAATCTGAAGCCTCTTATGGATGCTATGGTCACCAGGCACATGCCTGCAGTTTACAGCACCCACATGATAGCTCACTGCTGTCTGTAACTTAAGTTCCAGTGGATCTAACTCCTACACTCAGACATACATGCAGCCAAATACCAATGCACATAAAATAAATTACTTTTTCAACCTTTAAAAGAAATACAAATAAAACCCACTCCAAAGTCATTGTTCTTGAAAAAATATTTTCAATCTGAAAAACCCAAACATGCACTCTCAGGATGTAACATAATGGTAAGTTAGCATGCTTACAACACATGTGTGAGGCCCCAGTTTTAAATCCATCACTGCAAAAACAAAAAGTGCCCTTGCTATTTATATCCATATATTATTTATATCCATAGTCATCAACAGCCACCAAAGATTTACATTTGCAGTCTCTGTGTTTGGAATTCTCCATTCGAGATGTGAGCTCCTCTTTTTGTCCTATTCTGGGTCAGAGGTCATTAGGGGATTGTTATCTCCAAGTCTACGTCCTACAGAATGAATAGAATCACAGAAACCATCGGGGGATGGGTGGGTGGAACTGGCAAACTCTTTTGTTTTCTGCTTGCCCTCTCTGGAAACACTCCTAAATGTTTAGATCTGGGAGTGCTGGCCGAGTCAAGCTGTGGTTGGGGCTGGTACCTAGCCAAGACCAGGAAACATCTCTCCTGAGAGACTGTCGGAATTCCAGCTGCAACCTGAGACCCTCTAGGAAGTAGTTATTAAAGGAAACAGCCCCCTCTCTGGTCTCTAACTCTCAGAATTAATAAACTATTTTCTTCCCACGGCCTCTCTCCCTTTCTCCTAAAACACTGGCCAAAACTTCACTCCAGGCAGAAACTAAATTCCAGCTTGAAGTCAATCTCTGATTCATTCCTAGAACTGAGTCCCTGAATTGCCCTTCTCTGGCAGGTAGGTCTACACAGAGGCAGAGAACGAAAGTCCCGAATCAGGAGATGGGTAGTCTCCAGAAACCCAGAAACCCAGGCAAAGCCACGGTATGGAACTGGGCCCACACTCTGAGAGAGTTTAAGAGCTGTGGCCTCAGATGGGTTTGCTGTTGTCATTCTGACATCATTTTCCACAAATAATAGCATCACACCCGCTAGGTTTATGCTTCCAGCCATTCCGAATACGGGACGAATTACGCCCTGAGGTCATTTTGGCGATCCGAGTCAGCTCTCCCCGACCTGTGGTCTTTTTTTTTTTTTTTTTTTTTTTTTTTTTTAGTCTGCGTCTTACAGAATGAATGGTAAAGCACTCAAAAAAGGCCGGTCGGTAAATAATACCACACCGCACTACCAACAGGACACAGCACAGGTTGAAACCGAGCCTGGAACACTCCTCCTTCCAGGCACCTTTTACGCCCACCTGCCGGATTACACACTTCACACACTTTTTCCAAACGCCCCGTGAAGACAAACGAGAAAAACCAAGGGCACACTCATCATGCTCGCTGCGGTGTGAAGTTGACTCACACCCAAAAAAAAAAAAAAAAAAAAAAAACGAAATTCAAGACTGAAGCCTGGGCATGCCCACTCCTCCAGAAGAAAACAAAAACAAAAAAAAAAACAAAAAAAAAAGTCCGCACAGGAAGAAAAGCCCACAGAGCCCCCAGACACCTACCGCTATGGACCCAGAAGATGTGGCAACAAACACTTTGATAACCATTTCGACAGTCGGGAAGAGCACTCCCCCTAACACACCCCTGCTAGGGAAGTCACTAGACAAACCCCGAGGTGACGCTCGCTCGCTCGCTCTCCTGGGGAGCCGGTGCCTGGTCGGCTCCCAGCCCTGCCCTCCAACCCAGAGGCGACGGAGCAACTGGGACGCATCCTGGGTTTCCCCTGCGTCTGGGATGTCAGGGAAATGATTGGCTGATAAAAGCGGCCGCTGGACCCTTTCCCTTACCACTTTTAAAGGCCGGACAACAGTCCCTAAAAGGCCAGGATGGAGCTCGAGAGCGCACCAATCGCAGACTTATGGAGAGATGCCTGGTGCAGGGGAGGCGGAGCCTGGGGGAACCCGGGGGCTGTGGCAAAGAGGGGGCAGCCTAGGGAAAAGTCCAGAAAAAGCCGCCTTGTCCAGGAGGGCTCTGGACAAACGGCCGGCCGCAGTGGCCACTTAAAGAGCAGCTCCTGTTTAAGTTTTCTACAAGGTTATTATTATTTTATTATTTTTAATCCAGTGAGCTGTCACACGACAGAGATCCCTTTATGAGTGGCCTGTTTCTCTACCAGCTGTCTGGCGCTGTAAAAATTCACTGACGCCTTCGGAGGCAGAGAAATAGCCGCGGCCGCCCGGGTGACCGCAACTAGCAAATTATCATCCCTATTTTAAAGGTGGTTTGGGGGGGGTATGGGGATGTTTATAGCAAGCTCCAGCGCGTCTTATTTACACAGGTGGTTTGAATAGCATTTTTAAAAACAAAAATCTGAATACAAAACTAGTAAAGAAGCACAGACGGTACGAGCCCAGACTCTCTTGATGGGTTTCACGTGATGGCTCACTGGGCTGAAGTCACTTGCCTCCAAGCCTGACGATCTACCTGAGCTTCACCCCTACACCCCTACCCCCCGGAACCTCATAGCGGAAGGAAAAGTATATGCAGTTTAGAAGACAGAGTGACAACAAGACCATCTAGAGAAACAACATCAGTAATTTCTCCCCTAGGGCCGGTGACTTCCGGAGGCACGGATTTGTACTCCTTCCTGTGGGGCAGGTCTCAAATCCAATCAGGAGGGCAGGGCTGCCCCGATGGACAGTCTTGCCTGGCATGTTTGTATTGTAGCACGAAGGGCCCAGCGCTGGGTGGGCTGATGTCTTTTCTGCCAGCAGCACCCTGAACAGCACCTTCCAGGACTATGGAAGTAGCCAGAAGCAGAATGTAGAGTTTCATGGTCAGCTCAAGACTGATTTCTCTTTAACCAAGGTGTGTGCTGACTTTAGTAACGGGGTCTCACCAGCTATTTCTAGTGAGCAGCAAGAGCGACGGCAATAGCCCGTGTTGGTTGGGGAGCCTCTGGGGTCTGTCTGACTCGTAGGGAGGTAACCCGTGTCCAGTACTGAGGTTTTCCTTTACTGTCCCGAGGCTTCAAGGAGCCGCACCGCTCACTAATGTTCAAACTCTTTTGATGGTTTTATTTTTAATTAGGTTACAAAATGAGGTTTCATAAGGCTACTTCATACATCTGTAGATTATCATTCCCTACCCTCCTCCTCCCCACCCTCCTCCTCCCCACCCTCCTCCCCACCCTCTTATTTAGTTGCCAGTGCTTGCTCACCCCACTCTTTCCTGTCATATATAAGCTTATTTCAGTGGTTAAATCAGAGACACATTACCATTAAAAAGTATTGAAAACAAGCAACTGGAAGGGTTCAGTCACAGACAAGACATTTATTTATATCAACCCTCTTGCCAAGACTCTGGGAACATGAAAGGAGGAGGAGAGGGAAGAATGTGAGAGTCAGAGGTTGGAGAGGAGGGCTCTGAAATGTCCTCTGGGCATGAACATGGCTGTCCAGCTCATGAACTCACAGCAGCTGTGGTCACCCACGTAAAGACTGCACAGGATCAAACCAGTTAAAAGTCCCAGCTTGGAGAGGGGATGTGCTCCTGAGACCCAATCCTTAGCTAAGAAGCTATTGGCAATGCGTGGCTGCTAGCAAAGCCATTTCTTTATGAGTGTGGGCACTAGAAGATTCCCCGTGTGCTCTCGCATGATTCCACACTGAGTACTAACTGTATTCAGAGGGTTAAGTAAATAAATAATCATAAAGTGGGAGGATTATGTGATGGGAAGTCCTAGGGGGAGAAGGGTGGATATAATCAAGATATTTTATATACACATATGAGATTGTCAAAGAATAAAGCTTGAAATTTTAAATGAAGCCAGGCTTTGGTGGCGCACGCCTTTGATCCCAGCAGAGGCAGGTGGATCCCTGTGAGTTCGAGGCCAGCCTGATCTACAGAGCAAGATCCAGGACAGGTTCCAAAGCCACAGAGAAACCCTGTCTCGAAAAACAAACAAAACAAAACAAAAAATGAGCTTAGACTTGAACATGCAAAGTTAACAATTCCCAAAATTAGGTCCTCCATGTAGATAGAAGCACCCTCTGCGAACTTGTCTCTCAACTATTTTTTTTTTTATTTTAAGGCCTCTGAAGATTAAAACCGATTATTATTTTGGTAGTGATATTTTGTTTATGATCTAATGAAGTTTGCCTGAAGATCAGAGTGCAGAGCTAAGCTACTAGTTAACCATAGAGGACACACAGTGGTGGCCACACCTTTAACCCCAGCTCTGAGAAGACAGAGGCAGATGGATCTCTGTGAGTTCAAAGCCACCCAGGGCTACATGAGAATGAGTCTCTCTAGAAGAGAAACAGAGCTCACACCCTTGATGCCAGCACTTGGGAAGACATGAAGTTAATCCCAGCACTAGAGAGGAACAGACTGTGGGAGCTGTCTGAGATCTGGACAGCATTGCAGTCACTCTGAGGATAGGATCACACACACACACACACACACACACACACACACACACACACACACACCCGGTCTTAGCCTTGGTAGAGGTAAGAACTCTGTCAATGGGTTCTTATTATCCGTGTTACAATTTTGTTTTCAAAATATCTTGCACTGTTTATAAGCTATTTTTCTTACACGCAAAAACACTTTTTATATCTTAAAGCCCGTTAAATGAACATTCTATTTCTCCCCCACCCCCACTGAGGATGGTTGTACTAAAGCTAGGCGTATTTTCTAATGGCTGTGCACATTAGAATTGTAAACTGTGGCTGCATTCTCGTGTTCTGTGGAGAACACACACCCCTGCTCAGAGAATAAAACATGTGTCCAATAACGGCGTCCCCTCCAACTGCCATCTGCAAGGCCCGCGGAGGGAATGATGCTGGCTGAAGGGATAGCTGCTCTGGGTATTGTGCGTTCGCCCCTCCTTTGATCTAGAAGACCCTACCTTAGCTCCCACTTGAGTGATGACTTACAAGTGAAGTTCTGCCATGTTTGTGCTCTTTTTCATGACTGTGATGGTTTGAATGAAAATGATGGCTCCCCGTAGGGCTGTAGGCAGCGTCGCTATCAGGAGGTATGGCCTTGTTGGAGGAAGTGTGCCACTGGGAAGGGTGCCTTGGTTGCGGTCACGGTGTTATAGAGTTCCTGACCACTGGGAAAGGACCACAGAATCAATCCAATTATAATTAAAAGATTTATTAATTACTGCTACCAGGACAACCGTCTTGGAGCCAAAGTTGAGATTTCCACGCAAAGGGGAGTGAGGGAAGAATTTCGAAAGGCAAAAGCCTTGAGTAGCTGCACAACCAACCGAAGGCTATTTGTTCTGCCAAGATCAGGTAGTCAAGGCAACCTCAAAAGTCCCTGAATGTCTGCAGGGTTACAGAAGCCAAAAAGCAATTAGTTATACCATTACAAGTGGTCATGGCTGCACACTTTTTGGTTGGGGGTGTCAGTGAGTCAGGGTTACTGGGCACTTATCTTACAGGGACTGGAGTCAGAGACAAACAGCTAGTGAGCACCAAGATGGGTGCCTGGCATAAAAGGGAGTTTCTTTAGCAATCGCAATGGCAATACAAAAGTAACTCAGACAGTGACGACAGACTGTAATTCCAACATTTTTGGAAAAGGAAACCAAGGGTTAAATTCCTGGAGGGTGATTATTAGTATACAAGTACAAAATTGACTCTACATGCACTTGAAAACAAAAGATGACTTTCTGCATGGTGACACATATCTTTAACAGAGAAAGACTGATTTCAGAAGAGTTCAAGGCTAGCCTGGCCTATACATGGAGAGAGACACTGTGGGTAAAAAAAATATATATATAAAAGTAATTGAGAGGACCGGAGAGGTGGTTCAGTGGTTAAGAGCACTGGTTGCTCTTCCAGAAGTCCTGAGTTCAATTCCCAGCAACCCTATGTTGGCTCACGACTTTCTACAATAGGATCTAATGCCCTCTTCTGGCGTGTCAGCTAAAAGGTCAGGTTGGGCCCTGGTAGACCAGGCCACTTAGGAGGCTGGGTTAATAAGACTGAAGCCAGTCTGGATCATGTAGTGAAAATTAAACATCGAAATCCTAAAGCACCTGGTTCCATGGGGGGGGAGGGGCGCGGTTACAAAATACGGATAATGGGCACTGTGAACTTTGCCCGGCCCCCCAAAAGAAAAACCACACCCACGTTAAAGACTCTAACGTCCGATTGGCTAAGTAGGTTACATAACTGTGGCTAGATGGATCACCACTGGTTTGGAACCAAAGTGCCTTGGGCTATCTTTAGTCTTTAGCACAAGCCCCATTGACACAACGTTTTCATGACCGCCAGGTAAATCGTTTTGGGAAGTACAAACAGACCCCTGGCTTCCACAGTCCCGGTGATACCTGAGGCCTACAGATGTCCCTGGTTTGCCGTACCGGGCTTGGAATCCGATATTTCACAAGTGACTTATGACTTATTTTGTCCTGTAACTATGAAAACTTCACAAAACGTTTACCATGTTGGGAACATGATATCTGAGGTGAGAAATCTGTGGCGCCCAGCTCATGGCCACTCGTACTTAGTTCCAGAATAAACACCTCCTCCCTGGAAGGTGAGAATCCTGGCTTGCTATTGTTTTGCGCAGCACCGACAAAAACTATTAAAAACCACCTGCCCTTCTTAGTAACGGGCGCTTAGCAACGATCAAACCGCACGGCCCGAGCGACTCTTTTGTCTGTAAATTCTCCATTGCTTTTGTGCTCGCATGTAGTCTTAGCAAGAAGCCCCCGCACGTACAAAACCAAGCTAGCAGGGACAGACAGCCTGCTCGCCGTTCTCCCGACTCCCCAGCGTGCAGGACCACAAACCCAAGCACGCATGCGCGCGCCCGGCGCCCCGCCCCGCCCCCCCCACGCCCGGGGGTGGGCGTGGGCGTCCAGGCTCAGAGTACGCACGCGCACGCCTAGCGGACGCCCGCCATCTTCGCCGCGGCGCCAGGTACGCGTGCGCGTGCACCTTGCCGAAAGCCGCCGTCTTTGCCCCAACGCCAAGTACGCACGCGCACAGCACCTCGCCGACGCCCGCCATCTTTCTCGCAGTGCCAAGTACGCATGCGCGGGCGGGGGGGGAGGGCGGCCTGTGCTTCCGGTCCCAGGAGGCCCCGCGCGGTTTCCATGGCGACGCCCGCGCTTCCTTAGGGCCCGGGTTGAGGCAGCTGCGGGAGCAGCGCGGAGCAGGTAACGGCCTTGCCGCCCCCGCCCCGCGGTCGTGGTCCCGGGCAGCCGGCGCCGGGCGTCGCGGGCCCCTTCGCCCGCTCGGGCCTCGGCGGAGCTGGTAACGTAGCGCCGGCGGCCCCTGCTCAGCAAGAGCGGCCTGCACGCCCCGGAGCTCCCGCCACCGGGGGTCGCTGGTCGTTGTCCCCAAAGCGCGGAGAACGCGGCCGTGCCCCGCGCATCGGAATCCCGAACCCCCGCGGTGCATTTACCACCCGGCGGGTTAGCGTTTCCTCCCAGCGCGGCCCTGGGGAGGCTAAACCTTTCCCCCGCTTGTTTTTTCCACCCGAGTGCCGTAAAGTTACCCTGGCAGCAAACAGTTAATCCGGATCGGGCCAGCTTCTTGTTGGCCTGCGTGACGTGACATTGAATCTGTTTTCTGTTTACACCAATCACTGAGATGGATGACTCCATCCAGTTCCAGAGACTGCAAGGCCCACGTAAACGCCAGCGAGCCCAAAAAACGTGTACACGCAGAGCCGCAGCCCTGACCCTGTCCTTCAGTGCCAGCCTTCAGTCACCAAGACGGTGCCTGATAACCCTGCAGCCAGGCTCCCGTCACACTCATGACCCACCCGGTTGCTGGAAACGCCATTCCTGCACTTAACCGAGCTTTGGTGTCTAGCTTGACTTTATCAGCACACCCTCTCACAATAGTTGTGGCTTTTTTCCCAGCCCCCGCTGTCACTACAGTTAGTACCCAGATTCCAGGGTATGCCCTTTCTCTACTTGAGCATGGCCATTTTGTACACTAGTAAGGGTTTTTTGTTTTGTTTTTCCTTTTTTTAATTTAAGTGAATTACATGTCAATCCCAGTTCCCTCTGCCTCCGCTCTTCCCCTGTCCCTCACCCACCTACCCCCCATCCCATCCCTCTTTTGCTCCCCAGGGAGGATGAGGCCTTCCATGGGGGTAATCTTCAAAGTCTGTCATAGCATTTGGAGCAGGGCCTAGGCCTTCTACTAGTAAGGTTTTGTGGCATATGGAAATTCATGTTTCCCGTAAGTAAAAACAATATTTTAGGCCTGGAGGTGGTGGTGGCACACATCTTTAATCCCAGCACTTGGGAGGCAGAGGAAGGCCGATCCCTGTAAATTAGACTGAGTGCCAGGGCTATACAGAGAAACCCTGTCTTGGGGGGAAGAAAACAAAAACCAATATCTTAGTGTATATTTTTGAAAATTCCCAATTATAAGGCAAGACTACCTAAGCATGGTAGGGCTGACAATTAAAATGTGAGTCCCCTGGATTCAAACTGTGGAGAGAACTTTAAAAGGAATTGTACAGGAAAGTGAAACCCAGAGCTGCCTCCTAACCCTAACTGCTCATTCCACCCTCATCCCTTCTCTCCCAGGATCCTTAACAATGGGGTCCTCAAGGTCAGTGTCCATTTCCGGCCTCCTAGACCCTGATACCAAGCATTCCTCCGTGCCTACAGCTTTAAGCCCTTAACCATAAGCACTCAGCTGAATGCCATCACTTCTTTAAATTACTTAGACGCACACCCAACTCACCAATTGTGAGCAGGGCCTCACAGCGGACTGAACGGGAACCTCGTCCATTGTAAACCAGGGTTCCTCTGCCCTTCACACAATACCTCACAAACCACCTAGCTTTGGTGGTGGGTCCTGCCACTTCATGTCATTCAGCTTTCCATAGCTAAAAATCTTTTTACCTATGGGAAGCATGAATTCCACATGCCATAAAACCTTACTAGTAGAAGGCCTAGGCCCTGCTCCAAATGATATGACAGACTTTGAGTGTTCCCCACAGAAGGCCTCACCCTCCCTGGGGAGCAGACACTGACGGCTGTGGACAGGGTTATTTAGAGGTTTCACTGGTCAGTTGGCCCTGTTGCTTGAACCTGTGGTGAGGACCACAATCCCTCCTGAATCATGTTCCTCCCGCATATGTAACCCTCCCAGAGGTGCATCTCTCTACAACACAGCAAGCCCCTGAGACTAGTCTGTTGCCTGCACGGGAATACCCCCAGAGCTGCTCACTTGCCTTTGTGTTCATCATCATCTCCTGACACATCGCCTGGCACACAACGTTTTAGAACAGTGGATGAAATGAGCGTCCAGTACATACAAGACTGACGTTAATTGCTAGGTGTTCTAATACAATTCCATTGAAATATAAGGAAAATAATAGTTAAATAAATAAATAAATAAATAAACACGGGGAAAAGTAAACTGAGAGGAGCTAGGCCTTTCTCTGATGACCTGTAGTCTTCCTGGAGCCCATTCCAGTGTCCTCTGTGCAGGGCATGGCACCGCATTTGCCACCACCAGGTGGGAGGAGAGAGGCTGGGCTTCCAGTTCTGAAGGCAAGAATTTGCTGTGTCTGTGAACTCAAAACTGAGTAAATGCATGCAGTTATTAAATGATCAAACCCACAAAGCCAGTGTATAACCATCCAAAGATAGGAACTTGACACTTCTCGTGTTGTAACTCTTGAAGATGGGTGTGTGCGTCTGCCTGTCTTTCTGTCTGAGAGAGGAGAGGAGGGAAAAATGTGTTTCACTGATGGTTTTTTGTTTTTTTTGTTTTTTTTGTTTTTTGTTTTTTTTTTTTTTTTTTTTGAGACAGGATCTCAGTGTGCAAATCTGACTGGCCTGAGACTCACAGTGTAGACCAGGCGGGCTTCAAATCAGAGGTCACCGGCCCAGTCCATTTGCAGAGTGCTGGGTTTAAAGGTGCGCTACACTATGCCTGGGTCACCTGTAGATTTTAGAGTCAGACCTTAGAAGCCATTGCCGTAGCAACTTTGTCAACCAGAGATTAGACACAGTATCAAAAGATACTGTGTTTGGAAGGCTTTCTTTAAAATCCTAGGATCCTGACCCTCCTCACCAGTACAGTACGGTGTATAAGCTAAGGGAAGAGCTTTTGGGGCCATTAACTGTCCCAGAAGATGCCCTGGCCTCTGCCTCATTTACTAAAGGGTTGCTTTATAAGTTCTTTATAAATTAAGGAAATTAGTTTTCATTTACATGTCATCAGTTTTATTGAGTGTTTCCATTTCAGCCAAATCTTGTGTTTTCTTTTTCCTTTTTTGGATGGGTGGGGTGGGGTAAGGGTGGGTTTTGAGACAGGGCTTCTCTGTATTATTATACAGAACTCATTGTATAGACCAGGCTGACCTCAGACTCACAGAAATATGCCTTCTGAGTGCTGAGATTAAAGGTGTGTATCACCACCACCCAGCCAAAATCTCGTATTTTCATTTAAGATATTTTTTAACATGTATAGATCAAATCCATCAGATAATTATTTTAGGGTAAGGAATGCATTAAGAATTCACTTTGGGGGCTGGAGAGATGGCTCAGTGGTTAAAAGCACTGACTGCTCTTCCAGAGGTGCTGAGTTCAATTCCCAACAACCACATGGTGGCTCAAAGCATCTGTAATGAGATCTGCTGCCCTCTTCTGGCCAGAACACTGTATAGACATAATAAATAAATAAAAATTTGAAAAAAGGAATTCACTTGGGATTTGCAGGTACCATCTAGTCTGTGGTGGACTTCTTGTCACGTTGTGCACAGTTACTCATTGCTCCCACTGACCTTGCCTGCTAGGGCGTATGGACAGGGATCTGAAGACAGGGCATGGCTGACAGTTACCTCACCATAGGATAATGTGAGAAAGAAACGCAGTTGTTGCCATGTAAACTGTACATAGGAGTTAGTAATCACTTCAGTGCACAGTATTTGGATTTTTCTCACAGGGTCCTGGGTGGACCCCAAGCACTGGGGGAAGGGGGCGGGCTATAGTTATAATCCTAACGGTCAGAATCTTGTATGTTATGAGACCCACTGAGAAGAATCATATGTAATAATCACCAACCAGTATCCCTGCTTTAAAATAACACCAAGAGCCTAGGAGTCATGCCAACAGGCCTTTCCTTTGACATTCTGTCATTTATAGTAACACATGGTACAGTAGGGTTTTGTTTTGTTTTTGAACACTGAGGGAAAGGATCGGGCAGCTAAAGCACGGGCTCCTGTATGACTCTTGCAGTCTTACTTTCTTACTTTCACACAGCTGTCCCCTGGCACAGCCAGGCATTTCCCAGGCAATGCCATGTTCCTGACAAGCAGCTTAGAGAGGAGAGGACTGTTTGGGCCTGCAGTCTGAGGGGCAGTCGTTGTCGGGGAAGGCCAGGCAGCAGGGGCATGAGACCCTGTCTGGTCGCATCTTATCCAGTCGGGAAGCAGAGGGAGTAAGCTCTGGTGTCCAACTAGCCTTCTCCTTTTTACCCACCAAACCCCTAGCCTGTGTGATGGTACCACCCATGTCTAGGGTAGGTCTTCCCACCTCAATCAATCTGTAGAAGAACCCTCACCAGTCATGCCCAGCTAGGTGACTCTAGATCCTGTCAAGTTGGCAGTCACAAATAATTGCAGTTGGGGTCTGGGGAAATAGTTAAGAGCACTGGCTGCTGTAGAAAAGGACCTGGGTTCAATTCCCAGCACCCACATGGTGGTGCACACCATCTGTAACTCCAGTTCCAGGGGTCCAGCTCCCTCTTCTCTCCTCTGGGCGCCAGGCACACACATGGTGCAGAAAGAAGACCCAGACACATAATAAGTTTTAAGAAGAGTGACTACAACTGCCAATAGCTGATTTCTCCTTGGAAAAAGAAGGCCAAAATGTATGACGTACACAGTGATCTATAGTGCAAACGAACATAGACAGTGCCTTAGTTACTTTACTGTTGCTACGAAGAGACACCACGACCAAAGCAACTGATAAAAGAAAGCCCTTACTTTTGGGACTTGCAGTCCCAGAGGACTAGAACCCATGACCACCATGGTAAGGAGCACATCAGCAAACAGACAGCGTGGCACTGACATAGTAACTGACACTGTACATCTGATCCGGAAGCCTGAGGACCACCCTCAGTAACACCTCCTCTAGTAAAGGCCACACCTCCTAGTCCTCCCCAAACAGTTCCACCGCCTGCATTGGAATACAGGCCTGAAGACGAGCCTCCTCATTCAACCCACCTCAGGCAGATGGTAGATGCATATTGTTCCTAGACAAGTGTGTCTGTGAGATTGATGGAGGACGTCCTTCTGTTTCTCTTATTGGTCGATGAATAAAACACTGTTTGGGACGAGGCGGCAAGGAGAATTCTGGGAAAGGTAGTCAGAGAGAGGCCATGAGGAGACACCATATAGGGACTGGGAGGAGAGGACATGCTCTCTGGTAAGACACGGCCATGTAGAAACACATGGAGTAGTGGTTATGGGTTAATAATTAAGACAGAGCTAGCCAATAAGATGCCCTAGCCATTCGGCCAACAGATTAATAATTAATAAGCCTTTGTGTGCTTATTTGGGGCTGAAGAGGCACTGGTACCTGTCGGGACAAGAAACCATAGCAACAATGGGATTAACGTTTTTCTTTTGTAATATTATAGGGTTTTCTGAAATAGTCTTTATTGTCTAAAGAGACTAGAACATGTCAAAGGTCCTACCTTGGAAACTTGATGAGTCCCGTGGTGAAGAGTGCTCCGCATGAGGTATATGGTTCATCTCCAGACACCTTAGGGGATGAGTCTGAAAAAGAGCAACAGGTATGCAGTAACTCCTTCTTAAATACCTCAGTACAGGCTTTTTTTTTTTTCTTTTTAATCTGCCTTATTGCAAAATCAGGATTAAAAAAAACAGTGTAGAATCATAATTCATGTGTATGCCTTGATCTATAAGATTCTTATGTCTCCCTCCATAACAGACAAACACAAAGGTCTGCTGCCATCGTGAGCAGTGATCCCTTTGGTCTGGTGCAGTCCCTGAGCTGACACCAACCAGAGTCTTCATTGTAACAGCTGGTACCATTTTGGATTGTGTTTCTGGGTCATGATAGCAAGGAAAAACCTGTGCAGCTTGCACTACAGAGACAAAAATGTTCATCAAGCGAATAATGCAGACACCATCATACGATAAGCGCCAATGGTTCAAAATGCTAAAAGAACTCAAACTAGACACTCATTCCTCAGATTTGACAGAGCAAAGCCAGGTGCTGGGCAGCACTGACTTGCTTATTTCAGCATCTTGAAGACAGTTTGCTTTTCTAACCCGGAACCTAACAAGCAGTAAAGAAACATTCTCTGGTTGTACTAATTAATGAAGTCCACTGGGGTTTGAGCCAGGACATTGTGTGCCATGCAACCAGAAATTCCCATGTGGGACTTATAACAGATAGTGATGAAACTGGAATGTAGCATATTATAAACTCTAGAGAGCACTTGGCGCTCTGCAGGGCACATCTCATTGCCGACCACAGTGGCCTGCAAGAGCCGAAACTACTGTCACTCTTTGGCGCACGTTGCCAGTGATGGGCCTTAACCCTGTCTCCTGGCACAGGTGAACCCAAACAGCCGTATTCAGCATCAGCAGTAGAAATGTTAGTATAGTGTAGTTAGTATATCTACAGGTCCAGGGAATCCCAGAACACTAATGTTCCATCTCTGTGCTTTCTGAACTATGTTCATGTAAACTTACCATCAAGAAACAGGCTTGGTGGGTGCTAGAGAGATGGCTTAGTGCTTAAGAGCACTGGCTGGTCTTGTAGAGGATGCAAGTTTGATTCCCAGCATCACGTCAGGTCACAATTATCTGTGACTCCAGTTCCAGGTAGTCTGGTGCCTACTTCTGGCCTCTGAGGGCACCAGACACATGCGCTACACATACACATACCACATAAGCTTGATGACCTGAGTTCAACACCCCCCCAAACCCACGTAAAGATAGAACAGAACCAACTCTGACCTCCTCATCCGCCAGGAGTCATAGGTAGCACAGGCAGAAGCAGGTAGATCTCATCAAGTTCAAAGCCAACCTGGTCTGTACACAGCAAGATCTGGAATACCCAGTCTCAAAAAAATCAAAGACCAGGCTGGTCTTGAACTCAGAGATCTACCTGCTTCTGTCTCACCAACACTAAGATTAAAGCAAATTTCAACATGGCTGGCTGTGATCCCCTTCTTTATCCCTAGAGAGGCTCAACTGCTCCCTAATTCAAGGAAGGGGTAAGATGATCTGTCAAAGAAATCACTTGTCTGTTTCTCCAAATCAGTTGGTGTCAGATTCCAAGGATCCTCAGCATCCAGTAGTGGACAGCAAGGTTGCTGCTTCTGTGTCCTGTTAAAACAGTTAACGAGTGGCCCCAATCCAGAACTAGACAAATTCAAGTTAAAAGCATTGATTATAAGTGACTAGCATAGAAGGAAACGGAACTTGGATTTCGCCAGTTTTAAACTGCTAGGTTAACCTCTGATTACGTGAATAGTCACGTGAGGCTGCTTCACGGCTGTAGTGGCTTTCTTTACTCAATTTCTTCACTCACCTAATAAGAGTCTTTAAGCCCTTCCCACAGAGCCTGGACATGCAAACCATAGCTGGCCACTGCTCAGTTCATAAATGGATGTTTAGATAAAACTCCTAAACATTCAAGCCAGCACACACCTTTAATCCCAGCACTCAGGAGACAGAGGCAGGTGAGTCCCAGACCAGCCAGGGTGGTTATGCAGAGAAACCTTCTTTCAAAAAAGAAAGAAGAAGAAAAAGAAAAAAAAAACGTGTAACATTATTAGCAAGCTTTGGGTTAATTTGGAACACTCCTGATGTAAGCAGTACCTCATCACCCAGTGCTAACTAACTCCGGATCTTTGCCTGGAATGCTGCCACTGCTACCCATAAAGGAGAATTCTGGGAGGAGAATTCTTTGTGCTGGGATTATGTGAAGTTCTATTAGCTGTCCACATTGTGGAAGCAGAAAAGGACCCAGGCCTGAGCTGCAAAGCTTGGGTGGTCGCTCTCTGACCTATCGGAGCCTCCTCTTTTGGGCACATGCATGGTCTGTACGTCGTAGAGACAACAGTTAATCCAATGCTAGTGTCTCTAGTCATGTCATATGGCTCAGACTCTTAGTGGGGAAATATGATTTGCATAACACATTCTATCAACCAAGGAGAAGGCTTAAAGCACTAAGCATATGCAGCCAAAAGGCAGAAACCAACTCAGAGAACCCGAAGCTCCTAGTAGAGAGTTTTGTGTTCCTGTTGCAAAGGACCTTACATCAGTTAATATCTCTCTTGCTTTCTTGATAAAACAGAATTGAGAACTGAATGAAAAAGCGATGCTTTTAGAGATGCCTGCGATGGATTGGTTTGTTTCATCCTACTGATGAGGTAGGTTACTAGGCAAGCACTTCCAGGAGCCTGATCTGCCCTACTCAGAGCCTCATTAAGAAGTACTGAGCCTCTGCGCTCCAGCTCAAGTTAACTGTGCTCAGTGTATGCCTTGGGGGCTTTTCTTGTGTGTGACTTCCTGCCCTATCCATTTCGGATGCTCAGTTGCGATAGCACACACCGAGAGAACCCACCTCTGAGGTCACTCAGCAGCTCTTAACAAGCCATAAGACCTAGCTGACCATGACAGCATGCCTATAATCCTAGTGCTGGGAAAGCTGAGGCCAGCCTGGTCAGAGGTGGCAGGTTAAGTAGCTAGAGCAGCTCACCACCAAGCCTGACAGCATGAAGGTGCCCAGATGGACTGGTTCCAGCAAAGTTGTCCTCTGACGTCCACATCTGTAAATAGATTTTTAAAATATGTTTAATAATGCTGGGCTGGGCTCCAGATCCCTTCAGAAGGAAGAGCCAATGAGCAAAGGGGACTCAATGCCTCTGCTTTCCTCTTTTAAACATAAAGTGATGCTGTTCTGGGCTCCACCTTTAAAAGGGGCGATGACTTCCCAGCACACACAGCAGACAATAGCCATGTGTGACTCCAGTTCCGGGCATCTGACACTGTCTTCTGGCCTCCACAGGCACTGCGTACTATGTGATGCCCAGACACATACAGGCAAACAATCATACACATAAAAATAAATAAATCCAAAAAGAGTTGCCGGTGTTGTTATCAGATACAGTTTTATAAACCCTGTGAATATTTCAAAGTTTGACCCCAAGGTCCTATACTACATGTAGACCAAATCGAGACCGTTCCAGAAAATGCTGTTTAATAATATATTGTTCTGAGCTGGAGATGGTGGCACAGCCTTTAATCCTAGCACTTGGGAGACAGAGAAAGGCAGATCTCTGTGACTCTGAGGCTGACCTATTCTACATAGCAGGTTCCAGGCCAGCCAGGACTGCACAATGAAACCTTGTCTCAAAAAAAAAAAAGGGGGGGGAGGCTACTGTTTGACATTCCTAACTAATCACTGTAGTAAAGAAAATGCACCACAGCATGGGCCCGTGTTAATGCCACGGTCCACAGACTGAGCATGGTTTTCTCGCGCTAGGTTGTGGACTATGTCTTTGGCTGACACAACAAATGCACACACAAATGAGCACTTCCCCAGCCTGGCACTAGGAGGCAGCAGGAGGTCTGCAGAAGGCAGGAGTAGCCCAGACGCTGGCGACCTGTCCCGCAACAGCGGGCCTTCTAATGGCAGCGTAGATTACAGCAGGTCGCAGTGCTCCTACAGAAGCCTGGCATCCCACTATGACTACTCAGAAGGCTTTCTTTCCGAGTGCTCGGAAGCAACCGCCAGCAGACATCAGTTACAGCAGCCACTGGGGAGAGAAAAAGAGAAAAGAAAGTATAGCATTTCTAAAATGCCCCAGCTTAAAGGTAAGCAAGCAGTCAGACGTCCATGCCAGGCTGCAGCCCTGGCCACGGCGACACCTTTGTTTAATGCTAGTATCGCGTAGTGGTCCACAGTCAGCTACAGGTGTATGTTCCTGAATATCCCATACACAGCTGTCTTAGTTAGGGTCTCTCTTGCTGTGAAGAGACACCAGGACCACAGCAACTCTTATAAGGAAAACATGTAATTGGGGCTGGCTTACAGTTTTTAGAGAGTTAGTCCATTCTCATCATAGTGAGGAGCATGGCAGAACACAGACGTGGTGCTGGAGCTGAGCATCCTACAGCTTGTAGGCAACAGGAAGTGGACTGACATCCCCCTGAGGGAACCTTGAGCAAAAGAGATCTCAAAGTGACACACTTCCTCCAACAAGGCCACACCTCCAAATAGTGCCACTTCCTTTGGGGGCCGTTTTCTTTCAAACCCCCACAATGGGTGAACTTTTATAGAAGGAACTGGGAAACAGATAAATTAAGGGTAATTATATAATAACAAGAAGCTGTAGCCTTGTCCCAGCAGAGCTGACCCTCCAAGCCTGCTAATTGTGAGGGCTCCGGTTTTAGTTAATGGGCAACCTCATCACAAATACAAAGTTCTAGCTTTTAGCCATTGGTCTTAGCTAAAGAGTCAATGAAATGTCAGTGTCTTATCTTAACACCCCAAGAAGACAGTGTCCCAAGTGTGGTGAGGGTGTTGCCAATCTTTAACACCGACACCACTCACTGGGCTGTTATTGATGCCTGCTCCTTCTGAACTTTCTTGTTTTTAAAGACAAGATCTTACTGTGTAGCTCTGACGGTCCCGGAACTCTGTAGACCAAGTTAGCCTTGAACTCACGGAGATCCTCCTGCCTCTGCCCCTGCCTCTGCCTCCCGAGTGCTGGGATTAAAGTTGCGCGCCACCACTGCCTGGCTTCCCTGTGGACTTTAAAAGTACTAACAACATCAACTGCTGTCCCAGTTAGAACCAGCCTTGTGCCACCCCATCCCTCCTGCTGGATTACTCTTGTCTATTTGAGGCAACGGGCACTGACCACGCCCACTGGGGTGGGGACAGGGGCGGATGTGACCTGGGGGAACTACTAGGTCCGGGGAAAGGGCCCTGAGCGCTCCCTTGCTTGCTGGACAGGGACAGAGAGCATCCGGAGGCATCCTTGGGACGGGGACCTAATGGCGTTCATCTGTCTCTGTTGTAAGTTATTTCTCCCTGAATAAACATCTACTCAGCCTGTTTTCCCCATCCTTATTAATGCACGATAAGTATGTACTCCTTAGGAAGGCAGCTGGAAGGAGCTGATGGAGAACCTACTGTTGTGGGTCTCCTCTACCTCTGCCATGTTTACTCACTGCCTGTCCCCAGCCTGCTGATACCAGGTCTCCAGGATGCTCTGTGCCATGTCAGGATAAGTAGGCCCTTCAGTTCTCCATCAGAACTGAAGTGGGAGGAGTCATTCTTCTAAGATGGGTGTGTCTGTGAGCCACAAGACATCTTACACCTTTGGAGATCTGTATGTATTCTGAGCTTTCCCAGAAAGAAATACCCATAGCTTTCAACAGGGTTTCAAAGGGCTAAAATCCCCCTTCTAGTAGGGCAAGGATGGACCTCATCCAGTCCCAGAACCTCATATGGAACATGAGAAACCCACTTCTTTATTTCATGCTGAGATGCTGTCAGGAGCCTGGAGCATTTCAAAGAAGTGACCATAGCAAATGACATCATGGTTAGGCAGGCCCTGGCATTATAGAGCCCCTCATGTACAAGCCTTTGAACACCCAGCTTCTGGAACCCGAATTAAGAGGAGGAAAGAAAAATATTCAACGAGGGGCTGGAGAGTGACTTGGCATGTAAGAGTATTCGTCCTTGTATAAGACCTGGGTTTGATTCTCAAGATCATGATGATGGCTCACAACCAGTTCTAGGAATCCAACAGGTACCTATGTGGTGCACATGCATGAATGCAGGCAAAACATTCATACACGTTAAAAATAAATAAATAAAAACATTTGACTGAAGAGAGTCATCTCAGAACTTACTGGAAGAACTTTGTGATGGCTTAAATATCTGATATATGTCACACTGAAGTCTCTATTGATGCAGTGAAACACCAGGACCAAAAAACAAGTTGGGGAGGAAACCATTTATTCCGCTGACACCTCCACAGCACTGTTCATCATCAAACAGGACAGGAACTCAAACAGGACAGGGACCTGAAGGCAGGAGCTGATGCAGAGGCCGTGGACAGATGCTGCTGACTGGCTAGCTCCTCCTGGCTTGCTCAGCCCACCTTCTTATAGAACCCAGGACCACTCACCCAGGGATGGCTCTGCCCAAAATGGGCTGGGCCTTCCCCAATCAATCACTAATTAAGAAAATGCCCTACAGGATTGCCTCTACCCTGATCTTGCGGGGGCTTTTTCTTAATTGAGTATCTCTCCTCTCAAATGACTTCACCTTGTGCTATTGACATAAAACCATCCAGCACAAGATTTTAATATTTGTGTTCTGTTTGAAATGGCATCTCAGTTCAGGCTGTGCGGGGATACGGGGATATGCCTCTACTCCTGGCAAGGTTTTTGAGTAACTTTTATAGCAGATACCTAAACACAGGACTTAGACACCAAGATGTAGTTTTGTTTTCTCTTTCTGTCTTCCTTTTCTTTCTTTTCCTTTTTCTTTTTTTTTTTTTTTTTTTTTTTTTTTTGGTTTTTCGAGACAGGGTTTCTCTGTGGCTTTGGAGGCTGTCCTGGAACTAGCTCTTGCAGACCAGGCTGGTCTCCTAGAACTCACAGAGATCCTCCTGCCTCTGCCTCCCGCATGTCGGGACTAGAGGCGTGCGCCTAAGGTGTAGTTTTCAATCCGTTCTCTGTCACTTCATGGCTGTATATATAACCTTGGGTGACTTAAAATAAAGCTGCAGATACAAAGTAGATGCAACTGGACTGAAGAGTTGTGTCACTGAGACACGTGTGTGTAAAGGGCCTAGTCAGCAGCAGGCAGACTCAGCGGGCCTTGTTTGGCCTCCTTGTGCCATGGCGTTTACACGTGTTTGGAGGGTCGCCATGCTTGTGCATATTCATACGCCTGTGTGCGCTGTGGCTAACCGTCTGCACTGTCGCTCACACAGGCCAGAAGGACGTCCCAGCGGAGAAAAAGCACATCTGGAACGCTTCGTTTTTCAACTCTCAGGTCCAAACGATTGCCAAAAGAAGAGGCGCCATGACACACCGAATACTGTCAGCCAGGCTTCATAAGATCAAGGAGCTGAAGAACGAGCTAGCCGACATACATCGGAAGCTGGAAGCCACCGTCATAGAAAACCAGTTCCTGAAACAGCTTCAGCTCAGGCACTTGAAGGCCATCGGGAAATACGTGAACTCACAGAACAATCTACCTCAGATCACAGTGAAGCACCAGAATGAGGTGAAGAGCCTGCGGCAGCTGCTTCGAAAGTCCCAGGAGAAGGAGCGAACCGTGTCAAGGAAACTCCGAGAAACTGACAGTGAGCTGCTGAGGACCAAAGATGCCTTGCAGGCCCTGCAGAGACTCTCGGAAGACAAGAACCTCGCAGAAAGAGAGGAGCTCACTAACAGGCTGACTGTTCTTACAGCCAAAATGGAGGCAAATGACAAAAAAATACAGGTTTGTGTCTCAGAAGGGGAGAAGGGGGGACGCTCAAGTCACACGCAGGGGCTGCCAGCCACCTCACCCTCGCCACACACTGTGAGTGTTGCGCCCACCGTGGGGAGGAAGGCGGGGCTGGAAGGAGGAGCTCAAGGCTCAGAGCTGAGTGAGCCCGAGTGAGCAGGTGGTGTCATCTGTCTGGAAGCAGCTGGTCTGATGGCCACACTGGGCATCTCCTGCGAACCGAAGGTGTGCTGTGTGCTGTGTGCTGTGGGACTCACCCTGTAAAATGAACACCTGCTTTCAGCTCCTACTGAAGCTGCCTCCCCTTGCCAGAGCATTGTGTCTGTCTGTCTGCCTGCCTGTCTGTCTGTCTAAGCTCCCTTTGCTTGTATTGTCTCCCCTCAGTCTGACAGGTTATAGGCTTGTGTCCACACATTTTGTTGTTTCAAAATGATGTTTCTCAGGGAAGAAGACAGGAAAGGGGAAGGGAGGGAGGAGGACAGAGGTGGGGAAGGGGAAGGGCACAGGGGTGAGGGGAGAGGGGAGGAGTGGGATTAAAGTAACTGAAGAGATGGGTGCATAGACTTTTTCCTCAACAGACCCTGGTTGTCAAAAGCCAGGGGTGTGACCAGAAGAGACAGTGGGGAGGGGGCCCTAATCACACAGGCTCCTGCCTGTGTCACGTGATCTTCACGGACATGAATACAGATGGAGCCGATGTACTGTTCAACTCTTCGACACTCGATGGTGACAAATACTTTCTACCATAAGTACTAGGTTGTTTCATCCACATTTTCATGCTACTGTTCTGCTGGAAAAGTTCTCTTTCAAAGAAAATTGTCTCCCATGGGATGGGTGTTAGGTACCAGCAGCACTGAGTAGTCCCTGTCACTCTGCTATAGCTAGGTCAGCATCTGGGCCCCCCAGCGGTGTCTGTCGCCCCCCGTCTTACAGCCCAGCCCTGTAGAGGGTGGCATGGATCCCCATTACAACCCTCAGGTCTGTTCTCTAGGAATCCCAGCCCATCATGGTCTACACTGAGGCTGGACCTTCTAAGCAAAGGAGCCAGGGACAGCAGAACAATGCATTTGGGTCCCATGGTTAGGTTTGACTCTGGTTGTACTTGCTGGTTCTTCACGATGTGTTTGAATATTTTTTCTTATCAGTGTCCAGAGTTTGAAAGGACCATTTGGGCATTGGGCTGAGAAGATATATTTATTCTCCAGCCCTGAGATCCGGGACTTCCGTTTTGTTTTGTTCTAATGTTTGTCCCCTAAGCCAGCGAGTAAAGCTGTGTTGAAATTTTGCACCTGTCATAAATGTAGCTCGTTTCATTGCAGTCAAGTTTCATGACGCCACGCTGGCTACAGAGTAGTTGAAATATATACTGTTTTCAGAACTTGGAAAAACAGCTGAGGCTGAACAATCGATCCTTTGGTCGGCAGCTGGCCAAAGAAAATCGGAAGACGCTAGCAGCTCAAACGGCCACAAAGACTCTGCAGGGGGAAGTGAGACAGCTACAGCAGAAGCTTAAGGTATTTAAGGTATTTCTCCCAACACAGTGTCTTCAGGGTCTCCCAACAGGGGCAGCAGCGCATCCACAAAGCAGGCTCAAGTATGGAAACCCAATACATCGGTGGTGGTGAAGTACAGGGGGAAAGCCCTCCCAGGCGACTTAGCACAGACATATGTTAACGTGTGTGTGTGTGTGTGTGTGTGTGTGTGTGTGTGTGTGTGTGTGTATGTGTGTGTGTCTGTGTGTGTGTGTGAGAGAGAGAGAGGAGAGATAATAATAATAATAATAATTGAACAGTTGAAAATGATCAAATCCAAGAATCCATCATTCTTAAACAAAACTCTAGGTCTGGAGAGAAAGCTCTACAATTAGGAGCATTTGCTGTGCAATCATGAAGACTGGAGTTCAAATCCATGCAACAAGTTGGGTGCCCCATGCACACCTGTAACCTCAGCTCTGAGAGAGCCACAGACAGGGGTGTTGCTGGGGCTTGCTAGCTTCTAGCTTAGCCCAGAAAACAGGCACCTCAGGTTCAAGGAGAAACCCTGCCTCAAAGGAATATAGTGTCTGAGGAGAACCATCCCGTGCCCTCTTCTGTCCTCTGCATATCACCTACCAGGCATGTACATGTGCACACGTGTGTGGCACACCAGTGGCTCAGCGACTAGGGAACCAGCATTTTAAAACATTTTTAAAAGATTCATTCACCTTTTTACCTTTCCCACGTGAACTCTGCCTCCAAATAACCGAAAGGTGTGAAGGGGGCCATTTCTCCTTAAAAACCATCCCAGTTAATAAAGAATAAGGAACAATAGGGCCAGAATATCACCACTGGTTTTGAATTCCCAATGAACCAATAATTCTAGTCAATAGCTATTAATTGCCATGAACACAAGAGAATCCATAAACCAGCCTACCCTGATTCAGACCACACACAGCTCCAGTGAGTACGTAAAAGGCTCCCAGAAAAGCTGTTAGCAACATTCAACGCTCATCTGCCCATGCCTGCCCCACGAGCGGCAAAGCACACCAATAAGGTGGGTGTGCGGCCCCTCAGATAAAGAACACTAGGTAATTCACCATGACACTTTGGACCTTATTTCAGACCAACTCTAAAAATATTGAAAGACAATTGCAAAAATGTGAAAAATAGATTTGATGGCATCGATACTTTAATTTTAGAGGTATAATTTTATTTTGTTCAGATTTTGGGGGTGTTGTTTTTTGTTTCGGTGAGATTTGGGGGGGTTGTTTTGTTTTTGTTTTTTTCCAAACAGGGTTTCTCTGTGTAACAGCCCTGGCTGTCCTGGAACTCGCTCTGTAGACCAGGCTGGCCTCGAACTCAAGGAGATCCACCTGCCTCTGCCTCCCAAGTGCTGGGATTAAAGAAAGGCATTCGGCACCACTGCCCAACCTTGTGCTCAGGTTTGTAAACTCTCCTTTGTGTTGTAGATCCTGAAATACTGAAAGGTTAAGTGAAAACTAGGACTTGATTGGCATTCTCCAGGGCTGGGTGGAGTCAGAGGCGGTGGGTGCGCAGAAGAAAGCGAGTGAGTCTGAGCTGTCTATTGCCTGGTATGGGGTTCAGACTGTGCCCTGCCCTAAGTCACCCCATGTTGTGCAGCACAGTGGCTTTGGGCTGTGCCTCATTCTGGGTGACTCCACTTTCCTAAGCAAAAGTTGAGCAGGAACCATCATGAGCCAACTGATACATTCCCACAAAGAAATTATAGGTGAGTGCTGTGGAATAACCCTTCCGTACTCTGTGTGAATATATGTCGCTGTGGTTGGTTTAATAAACAAGCTGACTGGCCAATAGCTGAACAGGATGGCGTTAAGCAGGAGAGCCAGCCTGAGAATGATGGGAGGAGGAAGGGCGGGGTCACAGGAGTCGCCAGGAGATGAACATGCCATGCTAATAAAGGCACCATCATGTGGCAGAGCATAAATAAGGAATATGTATGGGTTAACTGAAAATGTAAGAGCTAGTCAGTAATAAGCCTGCGCTATTGGCCAAGCATTTGTAATTAATATAAGCCTCCGTGTCGCTATTTGGGAACTGGTGGATGGGAGAGAAACATCTGATTACAGGTGAGGAGCACATGGGCAATAAAAGCCATGTCTGAGGACATCAAACAGAAAAACCAATGAAGGATACAACACACTCGATGGATGTCAGCCTTCCTCAGCTCCCAAGGGAGATGTTGCGACCTTCAAGCCCCAGGGAGCACCTACCAAGATGCTACCTTCTCCTACCCCCTCCTACAAGCGTTGATGACATTTGCTCTCAGTTATGGTCTACCTTTCTTCTGTTGATTAACCACACAAGTATCCTGGGTCGTGTTCCAAAATTGTTGCCTTAGTGTGGCCCAGCTCTGTCACGGGTAACTTGAACCTCTCTCTCTGAAGCCTGAAGGAGGACTATCCCTCACACTGCACCCATCAGCTCACCAGTAGCCAATCTGTCTGCTGAACTATGTTTGCATCAAACCAAAAGACGGGACCGAGCTTTCCAGACACCAGAAAGTGTGTTCCTGTAAACACAAACCTTTACCTAACACGGTGTAAGTGCAAACACTCTGGGCTGGGAAGATGTCACATCAGTTATAAGCACCTGCTGTCCTTGCAGAGGACTTGGGCTTGGCTACCAGCACCCACATGGTGGCTTACAACCATCTTAGCTAATTCCAGGAAATCCAGCACCTTCTCCTGGCCTTCATGGGCTTAGGTTGTCACAACCACTTCTGATGGAATTTCCAGTCTCTGGGCTAAATATCAAATTATGAGAGAGCAGGACCATAATACATTGCTTCTGGGAACATGCATTCTAGAAAAGATATTACTTCTTGTCCATTTACATACATATCAAAATAATTTTTTTTTTTTTTTGGTTTTTTGAAACAGGGTTTTCTCTGTATTGCTTTGGAGCCTGTCCTGGAACTTGCTCCGTAGACCAGGCTGTGCCACCAATGCCCAGCTAAAAATATAATTTTATGATTAAATAGGGCATAAAAATAAAGGACGAGCAATGTGTGAGAGGCTAACAGCATTGACTGCTCTTACAAAGGACCCCAAGTTCAGCCCTGGAGCCACAAGGCAACTCATACCATCTATAACTCCAGTTCCAGGGGGTCTCATCCCCCCTTCTGGCCTCTGCAGACACAGGGCAGGCTCACCGTGGTACACACACATGCGTTCAGACAAAACATTCAAAAACACATGTAAAAACAGTTTTTAAAAAAACTTGTAAGAGCATAAAGCCTACCTACATTCTATAGGTCAGACATACAGAGGTCTGTAACGTTGGCTTCACTGACATGTCTTCATGGTCGGAAGGGTAAATGGAGATGGCCTGGGAGACAGTGACGGAGTCAGGCAGGCTTGTCTCAATATATAATGTCAGGAAGAACATTAGGTCCTTAGTTATTTTCTTACCCCCAACAAGTTAAGACTTAGAAAGCTTTTGTTTTGCCATTATTCGAAAGTATTAATGTCTGTGTATAAAGCTAAGCAGTGGCTTCCTGTTGTGGGCTTACCCACAGCACAGCCCAACAGAAGCCGGCTCTGTTGTCCAATAAAGTATGGGGAGTGACTGAGGGCTGAGTTTTGATTTTATGTTTCACTGTTTTTTCGAGACAGGGCTTCTCTGTGGCTTTGGAGGCTGTCCTAGAACTCACTCTGTAGATCGGCCTGCCTCTGCCTCCCGAGTGCTGGGATCAAAGGTGTGCACCGCAGCCACCACCACCTCCCCAAGCTTTATCCCACTTTTAAATGACAGCGTGTAACCCGTGGCTGCCATAGCCAGCAGTGCTTTTTAAATCAAGCTTTGTGAAGCAATTGTTTGTGGAAAACTGACACTGTGGCTTTTTTCAGGAGAAGGATCGTGAGCTGGAAATTAAGAACATCTACACTAATCGAATACTTAAAAATTTACATGAAAAGGAAGATTACCCAAAAGGTATGTCTTAGTCTCTGTTTTTAAGTGTCTGGGCATATTTTCCAGGTTGACATAGGGAACCTTTAAGGGCCTGTGATTGTAGAAAAGTGAAGTTGTGATACAGTCAAAAGAACCAGCAATGCTCATGTTCCTGCTGGGCTCAGTGCCTTCTGCTCCACCTCAGATGAGACAGAAGCAATATGACTGACTGCCTAACGGCCCTCGAAGGACATGTGGAAGCCAGTGTGCATCTTCTAACAGGAGGCTGTTTGAGGACATTTTACAGCCTGTACTGGTGACAGCCTTCAGTGTCAGCACATTTAGGCAAATGCTTACAGCCGTGTAACCATCACTCTGGTCAGAATCACACACACACACACACACACACACACACACACACACACACACCAAGGTCCCTATCACAACAGCAAAGATCTCGTTCTAGAAGTCCACAGTTCCCTTGGTTCAGCATGGTGGCTCCAGACTGGTCCTGTCCTGCATTTAGCTATAGAAGACATGTGCTCACAGGCACTGACTGCATCCCTCCCAGCCTCCGGTTCTGCTGAGAGGGCACTGTGGAAGCCTCATCTCTAGGGCAGTAACAGCCAGGTCTGCTTTCAAAGGTAGCAACCTCCAATATCTTGGCCTCCCTTCACTCCAGATTGTAACCCTGAGTAACGCCTTCAGGAAAAGACAGTGTGTCTCCTGTCAACATGAGAAAGTTTCAGTGTTCATGGCTCTTGTTCACATTGTGAACAATCTACTCGGCAGCCCTCAGGAGCTCTGGCCTCCCACAACCCCTTTACCAGAGGAACAAAACAGCAACACTGCCTCATCCCAGCACCCACTGGTTTCCCCTTAACACCAAGATGCTCATGACATCTGAGGCCTAAAATAAGACAAAAGAAGGAGTGTTGCCTATTTATAAAATGAGTCCTGTAATATTACATTGTATGGTTATGTTGCATGTTTAAGAGTTACTTTGTATTCAAAAGCAGTAAAGCTTCTGAATATAAAATGTTTCTCACATATAATTACCTATTTTATAGTTTCTTCAACAAAATCAGTACAAGCAGACAGAAAAAGTTTGCCATTTGTAAATGTCAGACACCAAGAAACTCAAAAGTCAGATGTCCCGCCATGGACAACGAAGGTATGAGAACTCTGAAATCCTGCACTTGTCTAAAAAAATGTCTTAACAAAAAGAGACCAGCTGGCTGAGTGTGGCTGTTCACACCTTTAATCCTAACACTTAGGAGGCAGAGGCAAGTGGAACTCTTTGAGTTCAAGACTACCCTGAGTTCCAGGACAGCCAGGAGTGTTAGACAAGAAACTCTGTCTCTGAGCAGGGGAGAATTATTAAAAAGCAGTCACTTTTGTTGTATACAAAAAGCTTGGATATTTATTTTTAAATGTAATTTAAAATTATACTTTTACATACTAAACACACACTTTTTACTGTTCTTCTAAATTATAGGGTAAAAAGACAATTGGAAGCATTGGTCATAAAGAAAAATCAACTGAAATAAACCATGAAATTTCTCACTATGTATGTAAACTACCAAAGCAAGAGGAGTCTAACAGAAAACATGAAGGTAACTGAACAACTAACTGTCTAGGGTCTCCTGCCAGGCATAATGGGCCTCACAGCAAGTTCAGGGCCCACTCAGTTTGGAGAGGACACTCCTGTGGGTAGATCCAAAACAGGCAGAGGTCTGAGAAGGAACGCCCCCAGACCTCAGATCACCATGCCTAACTTCCAGCTCTGGAACTGGGGGAACCCAGCAAGGCTGAGCATTTACTTCCTCAGGCCTGAGAGCCGAGTAGAGGGAGGGCCAGGCAGGGCCATGTTTCTGCTGTGATGTCAACCATCATTTAAATAGCAACGGTGGTGGCAACCCTTCCTAAGTCACTGCATTCCCCATGAGCAGGGTTTGCTTAATGTTTCCACTTATTTTTTATTAACATATATGGGTATTCTGCCTGCATGCAGAGAGAGATATGTACACCACATGCGGCCTAGTATGATGGATCCCCTGGAACTAGAGTTACAGACAGCTGAGAGCTGCCGCATGGGTGCTGGGAATTAAACCCAGGTCCTCTGAAAGGGCAGCTCATGTGACAGATTCTGTTTGAGCATATACTATGGTGAGGCACGGTTCTAGGTGTGTACACATACACGCACGCGCACGCACACACGCACATACACACCAACAGCTCATGTTGTAGTGTAGAATCACCATTCCCTTAAGGCCACTTACCCACAGCTGCGCAGAACCCCGACACCAGCATGATGGCACCAACTGTTCCTCTGGCATATTTGCAGTGTGTAACTGAACTATAAAGCACGCTTACACTGCACACACAGTCCTGCAGCCATGTGTTTGTGTAGGCTTGTTCTTAGACATGAGATGCATCCAGTTAAGTTCCACTAGAAACTGCCAGTTTACGCACCCAGCGGTGGGCCATCCCGTCAGCTTCCAATGGAAATGGTTCCTGTGTTAATCCCTTCTGTGTGCCAGTGCCCTGGGCGTGTTCACCCCGTGTCATTTCAGTGGCTTGTCTGGAAGTCTAGACAGGTGTGCTAACATGCCATCCTCAAATGAAAATCCACTGAGGTTTTCCACTCTGCAGCTGGCTGGTTTTATGGAGCTGGGCATCACACCTGGCACCGTAGGCATGCTGGGCAAGTGCTCCATTTCTGAGTTACACTCTCAGCCCCAAATTCATCAGTGGAGACCGGCAGGCCACAATGACTTCCTACTCTTGGCCTCATCGCTTCGAGGCAGGGCTATCGCTGAAGGAAGCTCCCTTTAGGCCAGCCTGGCCCGCCAGCGGTGCCAGGGGCCTGCCTGTCTCAACTCCACAGTGCTGGGGTACATTCTGGCACAGCCACGCCCCAGCTTTGGGACTCTGCTTTCTGGTGGGATAGCATCACTCACTCAGGCCCTGGGCCACTGCACACCTGGGAGGGGGTACTGCTTCTGTCTGCCATTTGAGGGCGCTTAATCTTATCTTCCCAATGCAGATTCGTCAATGGAGGTTGAACACCCAAAACCACAAGCCTCTGTGGAAACTATTAGGAGGCAAGAAGAGAAAAGGGAAGATCAAGAGCAGAAAGCCATCCCACCTCAAGCAGAGCCGATTCCCAGGGGAAGCGAGGCCGCCACGGGCACAGAGGACGAGGTCCCAGCCAGGGCAGCGGCTCAGGTGGGGGAGATGTTCGAGGCCAAAGAGGCCGATGATGCGGAGCCCGGGCCCGGCCCGATCAAGACCCCTCGGCCGCGGAAGCACTACTCCTTCACCGAGGCCACTGAGAACCTGCACCACGGGCTGCCCACGTCCTGCGTGCAGGCCTCGGGCAGCCCACGCTGCCGCCACGGCGTCGGCAAGCACCGCAGCGACCAGGAGCTGCAGCTGGAGCCTGCGGGCTATGAGCCTTCGTTCGGCAAGGCGGCCAGGGCCAAGGCCAAGGAGACGGCGTTCCGGGACAAGAAGAGCAGCCTCATGGAGGAGCTGTTCGGCGCAGGCTTCGCGGGCAGGGGTGGCCCCACCAATGGCGAAGGGGCCAGCAAGGCCCAGCAGCTCAGGCCGGGCCAGGCCTCTGCAAGCAACGCCTTCGGGGACTCCAGAGCCACTGTGGTGCGGTCCATCCAGGCCTCACCCGCCGAAGGAAACAGGAAAACAGTTATTTAAATGCAACGGTAGCCTCAAACACTCTGGTTTATGTACTAGTTAAGTGCCTTTAATCTTACTTACCATGTGAGGGCTTACATAGTGTCTGTTTTAGTACTTGGGTAATTTGGGTAATTTGCTTTATTGCTATCTAATAAAATAATCCACTGTACCTTGATCAATGGTAACATTTTAAATACAAACTTACATCTTTATTATAAAGGTAGAACATGTCCTCTCTTTTCAAGAAGACTGGTTTATTACTGAGCTTGGAGATCTGGGACTCACAGCAACTCTTGGTCCGCAGGACTATTGTCAAGACTGCATGGAAGAGGCACTGGCCAGCAAGATAGCCAGCAGACTCAAAAAAAAAAAAAAATCGGTTTTCAAGCTTGGCGTCATGAGTCCCCTGCTGACCTCTTGCTCAGCAGGGCTGAGAACATGCAAGCGCCTGCCTTTGAGAGCCCCTCTGGGTATTTTTGTTGTGGAGATTTATTATTTTGATACATAATGTCCTTTTCTCTTATTCTTGTTCTAAGACAACTGTATGCTCAGGTCACACTTTGGCTGGAGCTATAAAGGGTCTGCACTCCCAGCCTACGCCAAACTTGCCTTCATTTGTTACAAGAGAAACCTACTCCTAACCTGGGACAGGTCCCTGAATATCTACACTCTGAGAAACTGCACGCGAACGAGGGCTGAGTGTGGCAATGCAGTGCGATAATGCCGCTGGCCGTGCTACTCACCTACATCTCAACACTCAGGAGGCGGAGGCACGGTGGTCTGAGTCTGGGCCAGCCTGGTCTTCATGGTGAGTTCCGGGCCAGCCAGGGCTGCACAGGACGACCCTGCCTCAAAACATTAAAATTTTTACAGCAGGTTAATAATTCTGACTTTTCTGATTTTTTTTCCTTTTATAATTTTTTTAGAGGCGTTAAGTGCATACACCAACACTCATAAACATGGACCATATTCTTGGAAACCCTAAAAGCAGGTTAACAGTGGAGCCTGAAACCGACAGGGCAGGACAGAGCATGCTTCCCACTGCACACTTTGCCTTGTAAATTCAATGTTTATTACCCAGTTTTACACAAATACAATACTGAGGAGAAGACACAGTGACGCCCCACTCAGACTTACACACATTGTGCACACGGGGAACACAAGTTATGCATGTGGCGGCACTAACATCTGGGAACAAACCAAAATGACGCCTAAGTGATGCCCAGGTCCTGCAGCTTTCAGGGCTGTCCCAACCTTCTCAGGGCCGAGTGGTTCCTGAGTGGTAAGAATGCTGGAGCTGCCGGACAGGTCCTCCTGGCCATGCTGCTTATGCCTACCACTGCACACATACATACATACATACATACATACATACATACATTCATACATACATACATACATTCATACATACATACATTCATACATACATACATTCATACATACATACATTCATACATACATTCATACATACATATATTCATACATACATACATACATACATTCATACATACATACATACATTCATACATACATTCATACATACATACATACATTCATACATACATACATTCATACATACATTCATACATACATACATACATTCATACATACATACATTCATACATACATACATTCATTCATACATACATACATTCATACATACATTCATACATTCATACATACATACATTCATACATACATACATACATTCATACATACATACATACATTCATACATACATACATTCATACATACATACATTCATACATACATACATACATTCATACATACATACATACATACATACATTCATACATACATACATTCATTCATACATACATACATTCATACATACATACATTCATACATACATACATACATTCATACATACATACATACATTCATACATACATACATACATTCATACATACATACATTCATTCATACATACATACATTCATACATACATACATTCATACATACATACATTCATACATACATACATACATACATGGCATTTTGTGCCCTTTATAAATGCAGCCAAGTAACCTTGGTACCAGGAAAGTCTACAGTGTCTGCCGAGTTTAAGTCAGTGGACTCTGCAGCCTGCTCTGGGGGTATTCCATCTGACAACAAACCAAAGGGTCTTACACTCGGCCTGTTCACAGTACAGTCAGTCAGGAAAAACAAGCTATTTATGAGATAGGTCATTAGGAAACATAAAAGGGTATAAATATGATCCTTCAAAACCCAGTGCTAGGCTTTGATCCCAGCAGCTGGGAGGCAGAGACAGGTGGATCTCTTTAAGTTCCAGGCCAGCCTGGTCTGTGTAGTGAGTTCCAGGCCAGGCAGGCCCTGGGGCACTGCCCCGCAGTAAGGCTGTAGCTAGGAAAAATGCTTCAAAAACAGACTTGGGGCCAGGTGTAGCCGTGCACACCTTTAACCCCAGTGTTTGGGAGGCAGAAGCAGGTGAATCTCTGTGGGTTCATGGACAGCCAGGACTGCACTGAGAGGCTCTGTCTAGAAACAAAAACAAAAACAAAACACCCAGACTTGGCAGAACTCTGCCTGTAAGTTCATGAGCCAAATGAGTCTCACTTCAGATGAACTGGAACCTGCTTAAGTCTGTTCCACTCTACACAGCATAAACACCCAACGCTTTAAAGACATACTTCATTCGAAATTCTTTAAATAAAAACAATGTAGGGTGGTCTCATGTGAACACATGTAGGAACCACTATGAAAAACTAATAGGCTTGGACACATGGCGATACTTTTCACACGTTTACACCCTGAGCCTGGTCTAACCTGACATTTCAAACTCGGGGCAGGCAACGTCCATGAGTGTCACTTTCAGGTGAACTTCATGAAATTAAAAGCAGAGTTCTAGTAAACTCTAGTAAAAAAAAAAAAAAAAAAAAAAAAAAAAAAATGTGTTTTTTCTACTGGAGTTGTTAGGAAAGTCTCTGCGGCTGCGGACAGAACCAAACCATGCCCAGCGCAAGTGCCAGCATGCAAATGCCCCACAGTGGATCCAAAACTAGGTCAACGACACATGAGTGTCATAACTGGTCTTTTCCTGGCTCAATGACAAGAAAAGAATATCCTGACTCGAACAAGCCTCCCAGGTGATAAACAAAAGCAAACATATTCCAAACACAAGCAAGAGCCTGTGGGCTTCTGCGTTCAGATCTTTTCCATGGCATCCTTTCTGTAAAGCCTTGACGCTGCTCATCTCCTCCTCAGCTGAAAGGGTGGAGTACAATAGCCACAACCTTGTTACAGACTAAAATCCAACAGGTGATTCCAATTCCACCTAAAGAGAAAGAAACTCGTGTCAGAAGATACGGTGGCAACACATTGGTGACACCAACTTACGGGGAGGAAGGCGCCAATCCCAAGTGTTGAGGAGGAAGAGAAGGAACCCATCAGACCACAGACCACAGCCAGGGTGCACTGGGCACCAAGCTGGATCACCCCAAACAGTGGGTTCTGCCTAATGTCCCTTTCCTGACAGAGAAGTCAGAACACCCTATACCACGATTTCTGTGTCACTTCTCAAAAAAGGGGGTGCACACCTGTGATCCCCGCACTCGGGAGGCAGAGGCAGGTGGACCTCTGAGTTAGAGGCCAGCCTCGTCTACAGAGCAAGCTCCAGGGCAGCCAGGGTCACACAGAGAAACCCTGTCTCAAACCACCCCACAACCAGAAACACCTTTAAGATCCAAAAGCAACAGCCAACAGCACCAAGTTACTCAGTGCGGCAGCCACAGGGAGGAGATGGTAGCCTCTGTGTGCCAGGGCTGTATCTCTGCTCCACAGCACTCAAATGATCTGTAAGCGACTTCTCCAGACCCCAAAAGGTTGAGGTAGGAGGCGCAGCTTGCTAAGGAGATGCTGAGGAGGAAGTCTAATCTCCTCTACTGCCTACCTGCTACTCGAGTAGGGAAGGCCACCAGGCGGTCTAGCGGGGTGATCCACTTGCTGGGTACCACAGCTACAGGGACGGAGTAATATTTCCAGATGAGGGAAATCATCAGTGCTGCCTGGAGGAAGATACAGTGAGTGGAGGCCTCACACCCCGGTCAGTCCGCCCGGTGAACACACACGTGAGGACACACGGGCGCGCGCGCGCACACACACACGCTCACTCACACACTCACGCTCACACGCGCTCACTCACACACTCATACACGCTCACTCACACTCACTCACACACACACACACCACACTCACACACACACGCGCTCACTCACACACACACACACTCACACACTCACACACACACACACCACACTAACACACACACACACGCTCACTCACACACTCACACACACACACACCACACTCACACACACACACACACGCTCACTCACACACTCACACACACACACACACCACACTCACACACACACACACGCGCGCGCTCACTCACACACTCATACACGCTCACTCACACTCACTCACACACTCACACACTCATGGGACCTGAGGTGAAACATCATTCACTGGTAACAGGTGGGTGGGCCTTATTCTGGGAACTGACATTTCACCCTTTAACAAAGAAGCCACAATCCACTATTTAAATGAACTGAATCCGCCCACAATGTCTATCATGTGCAGCTAAACTATGTGCCAAATATAAAAGCAGTCATGACTCCAAGATCCTAATAAGCACAGTCCTCCCTACACAGCAGAGGTGATCCCTCCGCCACCCCCTCTAGTTCCAAAGCCGGTGAAATCTGTTTTACTTCTTTCCCAGAAGCAACTTCTGTTGCTCCAGCTGCTCTGCTCAAATGAGCAGGCTGAAGAGGGGGCCAGCCAGACGCCTCTCTGTGGAACACAGGCTTATCAAGTAAGAATGCCTCAAGCCAACTCTCCTCAGCCTTTCTCCACACCTCATCTTTAGGGGAGCTGGCAAGAGTGTTTTACCTCAGGAAAGAACCGCCCCCCCCCCCAGCACTAAAAGCCCAGGTCACTCACGGAGGCTGTGCAGCCTCACCCCAGCAGCACCAACAATCCCAAGAAGGTAAGAACGCCAGGGGCCAAGTAATGAGGAAAACTGGCTGGTGGACTAGAGATGGCTCAGCATTTAAGAGCACTGCCTGCTCTCGCAGGGGACCTGGGTTAATTCCCAGCACCCAAAGGGTTGCTTACAACTGTCTCTAAACCCAGTCCCAGAGGATCCGACGCCCTCTTCTGACCTCCAAGGACACCAGGCACACACATGTTATACAGACGTAGATGCAGGCAAAACACCCACACACATGAAAATCAATTTTAAAAAAATCTACCAGGCAGTGGTGTCCCATGCCTTTACTTTAGTCTCAATACTCAGGAGGGAGAGGCAGGCGGATCTCTATGAGTTTGAGGTCAGCCTAGTCTACAGAGAGCCAAGGCTATGCAGAGAAACCCTATCTCAAAAAAAAAAAAAAAAAAAAAGTTGGTTTCCTACCTGGAGGATGGGGAGCACTGTTTATAACCACCAGGGAGCAAGGAGCCCAGGAGCTTCTGGGGTGGGGCAAGGCAAACCAGCTCTGAGAACCTAGGTCTCCAACAGAGACATATATTTTTTTCAATCTTAGAAATTCACAGCTGGGAGCTGGATAGATGGCCCAGCAGGTAAAGAGCTTACCATGCAGTTCTGATCCCCAGCACCCACATAGATGCATGAGCACAAAGCAGCCCGTATTTATTTCAGAGCTCAGGAGTTAGAGACAGGAGTCCCCTAAGCAAGCTGGCTAGATTGATTAGCTAAATCTATTTAAGTGAAAGAACCTGACTCGTATATAAAGACGGAGAGCAATACAATCAAGAACGATACCCAACATCCACCTCTGGCCTCCGTATACAAGAAAAAACACCTTCACACATGCACACACACACCCACACCCACACACGCGCGCGCGCGCACACACACACACACACGCACACACACACACACACACACACGCAGAGCCCGGGCGACGCCACACTCACTTGCAGTATGTAGAAAGCGACGCTTATAAACCATTTGATCTTGGCCAACTGAGCTGTCCGTGCCTTCACTGAAAGGAAAAAGAAGGTGAAACATGAACTAGTCCTGCAAATTAAAGAAAATATCTAAATACACAGAAACTTAATCTCCCCTTATAAAACACCTTCTCATCATAAACAAAATAATTAACAGGAATTTTGAACAGGACAAAGTACAACACATAAGTATGAAATGCCACAGTGAAACTCCTTATTCTGTATGCTAACACAAAATTTAAAAAGATGTATCACTACGCCATTATTTATGTACAAGCCTATTCAGACTGCATCCTGGGATCCCTGCAAGCCACTCATCAGAGACTCCTTCTAACGCACCTGCCACCTACCAAAGGGACTCAACGCCATCTCCATTTTCTAACCTGTGACATCCCTAACCTGCAGGAGGGGTCCAGCTCTCCCAGGCCTGCACAGGCCTGTTCTACAGTGTGCAACTTGCTCTACCTTACAAGCCCAGTAGGGCCTCGAAGGACAGACAAATGCACTCTGGAGACACATGTGTGTGCACACATACTTGGGGGAGACAGAGCACACGCTAATTAGCCGTGGCTAGCCTCAAACTCACCATGTAGACCAGGCTGGCCTTGAACTCAAGGAGACCTGCCTGACTCTACCTCGGAGCACTCGGCACAGGAGCTGCTCCCTGACGCCTACACACTGTGGGAAGAAGTGCCCTGAGGACCCACTGTGCGGTCTTCACCTGGACCCCCCTCAGTAAAGTGACACATGTTTACCAGCAGATAAGGAGAAGTGGGTTGCTGTGGGGGAGACCCTCTATACAAATACAAGGTCGGATCACTGCGAGGCCATCTCAAGTCCACACACAACGGCCCTCCCCGATCAGCCCTCATGACACCTGCCAGGCTACAAGTGACTGCAAGACACGTACCATGAGTTTTGAGCTTGTCTGTCATCTTGTTGATCTTCCTTTCCAGCCTAGCATATCTGGCGAATTCGTCCATCATGTTGACGGTGGCCAGCTCCTGCTTCATGTCCTGGATCTCCGCCCTCATCTGCGACTCCTGCTCTGCATCCTTCTGCAGCACCCTGGAAACCTGGCGGGAGGAGGCTGGCGTCAGTGTCCTTCAGCTTAAAGAGGAGTGGATTCCCTCTGTACGTGCTCACCAAGACCCAGCCGATTGACTCTATGTACTCCCTACAGGACTAATCCAAGATGGACCTTCCAACAGGCCCAGCTACTACTCGGTTTAGGTGCTGCCGGAAGACACTGGGGAGGGAGTCACGTTGTGAAACAGAAACAGCCCCACCCCCAGGCAAACCAGAGCAAGACAACAGTGGCCACCAGGTGGCACCCACCAACTGTCAGTTTGTCCCGGGAAGGTGGAGTGCAGGAAGGTACAGGCCAGGCAGGTGGCTGGGCTCATCAGCAAAGGGAAGGGCTACACCAGTGGGTGAGATGAAGTCCAGTACCCCTGCAGACAGGGCACAGTCCCTGCCAGACTCAGGAGAGAGCGCCGCAAACAGAAGCAAGGCCTTCAGACCGGGCGACGTTTTCGACACTGGTGCCAAGACCTCAGCTCACTCGCCAAAGGGCCGCCAACTTACCTTCAAGGGTTGGGGGGGGGGATTTAAACCATATAGACTAACCCCTGCAGGTGCACATCTGTCCAAGCTTCTTAAGGATGAAAAGCGAGCGGAAGTGCTCGCCACACAAACGGGAAGCCGCAGTGACAGCCAGAACCGAACCCTTACCTCCACACACAGGCCAGGCACACAGTGAGCTCGCTACTGCGTCATGCCTGAGGCTGGTACAAGGGAGAGGGTATGCGAAACAGCCTGTTTGCTGCCCACTGCCCACCACTCAAGTGGAGTTACTCCAGCCTGGCCCACCCTGGAGGCGAAATCAAGGATGGACCAACGACTCTAAAAGTCACGGGGGGCGGGCTGCAGGGACACTCAAGTGGTTGGTTAAAAGCATTTTTTTCCCCTTTAAATAGAGGATTGACCGGGGTTCAGTCTCCAGGACCCACATGGTGGCTCACAATCATTTGTAGCTCCAGTCCCAGGGGATCCAATGCCCTCTTCTGGATCCATGGGCATCGGGCATGCAGGTGTTATGCAAACATACATCATGCATGCAGGACAAATACACACACACACATACAATAACTTTAAAGCCCATGCACCATTTTTTGGTGGGGCTTTTTAATTTTATTTATTTTTATTTCATGTGCACTGGTATTTTTGCCATGGGTGTCGGGTCCCCTGGAAATGGAGTTACAGACAGTTGTGAGCTGCCATGTGTGCGCTGGGAACTGAAGCCCGGTCCTATGGAAGAGCTTCGGTGCTCTTAACCACTGAGCCATCTCTCCAGCTCCCACACACCATTTGTTTTTAAAGTCGCAGGGCTGTCATTCAGAACCAGGAGCACTGCCGGCCCTGGAGGCCCACGCCCGTGGCCCCATCATCTGGGAAGCTGCAGCAGGAGCGCAAGGACCACCTCCACACCAGCAGGAGCTACACTTTGGGGCCTATCTCAAACGGAAAAGAAGCCATCTTCTAGATGACTCAGACTCACAGATGCCCTGGAGCCAGACCCACCCAGAATCCGAGAACTAAGTAAGTTTGAAATTTTTAACGTGATGACTCAGGAGGTAGAGGCATCCAGAGACACACAGGACAGAAGCTGGGCCTCCTTCCTTCCACCAGGGCAAGTACACGAGGCTCCTGCTACAATACTGCTCGTCCAAGAGTGAACGTGGAGTCGCTCCGGGAAGGGTCAAACCCTACTCTACTGCTGACAACCCATGGGCCAGACAGACCTGAAAGCCGGTGGCCCGAACGGCACAGCCCAGCTCCTCCCTCCTGGAATTCCACAGGCAAGCACAGAAATGACCAACCCAGGTCAGCAGCGTGGGTGTGCCTCCAACATCCATCTCATCTCAGGAAGCGACCAAGACCCAAATACAGCAAGTCCAGAGGCCTGCTGTTCTCCGCTGGTACCAGAGTCACCTAGGGCAACTCCTTGGGCTGGGCTAACCTCCAGGGAGGCTGGTTCCCCTACAGGGCCCTGTCAGCCAAGCACTTCACCCTAACCCACGGAACACACCTCTCAGCCAAGGCTCCAGGAGTAGATCTTGTTAGGTTGCTAAGTCATCCTAACACCTGGAAGCCACAATTCCTGTCCCAACCAGTCACAGTGACACAAGCCTTTAAACACAGTACCTGGGAGGCAGAGGCAGGCGGATTTCTGTGAGTTTGAAGCCAGCCTCGTCTAGAGAGTGACTTTCCAGGACAGCCAGGGCTACACAGGGAAACCCTGCCTCAAAAGAAATAAATAAAACCAAAAATCTCATAGCAAGGCCTTGCTGAGAGGCTGGTGTGTGGAAAGGGAATCTCTAAGGAAGATGCTCTAGGAAGGAGCTGGCCAAGGATAAGAGCAAAAAGTGAAACCTCTGAATACACAGAGAGAGGTAGGCTACACCAGCCAGGCCCCGGAGGCATGTGTGCAGGCAGCATGCTATTGCCTGCAAAGCAGGATCTGTCAGGAAGTCCACACGGGCACCTGCACCCCTTGTGTGCCCCGTGCATGTCAGAAGAGCCTCACCCCACCTGCACATGTCAGTTCAGGCAGGGGCACCTGGGCGGTGTGGCTCCCATGCATGTGAAGTGTGTCCTATGTGTCCCCTTTAGGGTGTGTGTGTGTTCAAGACAGGCTTTCTCTCTGCAACAGTCCTGGCTGTCCTTGAACTCGCTCTGTAGACCAGGCTGGCCTCAAACTCACAGAGATCCACCCGCCTCTGCCTCCTGGGTGCTGGGATTAAAGGCGTGAGTCACTACTGCCTGGCCCTCCCCTTCTCTTACACAAGGCTGGATCCCCTGCTTTATGAATTAGACAGTCTCACCTAGGAGAGCTGTAACCAAGCTAAAGGGGAGACCCTCGGAAAAATTCCATCCAGGCCAAGCATCAGCCCGGTCCCAGCAGTCACCCTGGTGCATGCAGCACTGACTGTGTTCACCCCTCCTGTCCGCTCTGAGGCCCGGAACACCAGGAGGAAATCAGTGACGATGGCAGCACCACGTCCAGGTGTCGTGCTGCATTTCCAACCCAACTATCTTCTTGTCAATCTGTCACACTTGGTCCTTCTAATCGGGGGAGGGAGGGGGGGTGATGGGCGGGGGTAATGTGTGGTGATATATATTATCTGATTTATTAAAGCAAAGTCAGCCACAAGCTAGAGAGATCCGGCGGTGATGGGACACAACTTTAATCCCAGCACTAGGGAGGTTATTTAAGACATCCATTCCCCAGCCACACGGAGGAGAGGAGAGGAAGGCACTGATGTCTCGGGATTCTCCAGTCACACAGAGGGCTGCTGTGGTCCCCAAAGTGTAGGCTCTCTGCACTCCAACCGGCAGTCAGGGTCAATTCCCTCCCAGTCACCACTCCAAGTCAGTCACACAGCCCAGCTTCAAGTTAAGTTCCTTCGGCCCTTCTCACGGCTCCAATGGTATGCTGCACCAAAACTCAGGGAAGCGTTCTTGCTCACTAGTTTATTATAAAGGCCGTTTCCCAAGGCTGGAGCGATGGCTCAGCAGGTAAGCCCACTTCCTGCTCTTGCAGAGGACCCGGGTTCGGTTCCCAGCACCCCGATTGGGGGGGGGGGAGGCTCACGGCCGTGAGGCCCTCTTCTGACCTCAAAGGCACTGACTGCGACACACGTGATGCACTTAGACACACGCAGGCAAAAGCGCACATACGCGTTCAAGCAGAGAGTAAAAGGAAACGCGAGTGGGCAAGAAGGGCACGGCGGTTCAGCCTTCCGCAGCGTGCTCTCCTCCCGTGTATGGCAGAAGGGGACCGGGATGCACGGCCGGCGGGGCTGAAGGAGCCTCGCAGCAGGCCGGGCCACTTACGAAGGAGGACAGGGACGGCAGGAGGATCCGCAGCACGTTGCACCCGAACACGAAGCTCAGCACCAGCAGCCACGCCCCGCGGTCCGCCTCGGCCGCGCTCATCGCGGCTCCCACGCACCAACCTGTACCGCTACGGCAGCGCCATGGGGACCGAGGCGCCTGCGCCTGCGCCTGCGCACTGCCGCCCCGCCAGCGTCCCAGCGTCTGCGCCTGCGCACTGCGGGCCCCGCCCCCGCTGCAGCGGCGCCTGGGACAAAGCGTCGTCAACTACGCCTGCGCCGGCGTCCGCAGCACCATGGCAACCGAGCATCCAGCCGCTCTTGCGCCTGCTCGTTACACCTCCTCTGCCGCGGCCGAAGCGGACGGACGCTACTCAGGACCCCGCTTGCCTTTTTTTTCCCCTTCCCGGCTACCGTAAGAACCGGTGCTGCAGTTGCCCGGAAATGTTTGTGTTCTTGCTGAGTTAACTCACATTTGTTTATTCATTCGTTCATTCATTCTCGCTCAGGAGATCAGGCTGGCCTCGAACTCAGAGAGATCCGCCCGCCAAAGATGTGCGCCCTCACTCACCGCCGGGCAACCCACTTTTATCCTTTGTTCGTTTTTCACTTTTGTTCTTAAATAAATGTATTTTAGGATAAGCCTCGGCATGTATAGAAACCTGATTCTAAGGAAGTATTTTATAAACAGCTGTCGCATGGTAAATTTTTTTTTTAAAAAAAACTAAACACTAGAGAACACGAACAACATATAAATTAGTATTCCTTTAAAAGCAATACAGAGAAACCCTGTCTCGAAAAATAAAAGTTCATTAATCAACTTAGCGACTGGTTGAGACTTGCCAACCGTGTGCGGAGTCTTAGGTCCCACCAGTACACTTTACTAAAAGGGGGGGGGGGAGTTTTATAGTGTGTAAAATTAACCAAATTAGACAATAATACGCATTTGTAACCAAAAAAAAAAAAAAACCCCGATTCACTTACATGTGAATAAAGCGATAAAATGTCTTTTCTGCCATGTCAGAGTCTGAGAAGGAGGTGCTGAGGATAACAAACTTGCCGGTGAGTATCATGTAATACATACATGCCGCTGAGCAGCTCTTCCTGGCTCTTGGTTCCTGTGGACCTCTCTCGGTTCTCAGTTGAAGACTGCGTTCTAATATATATATAAAAGTTGAAAGCATCGCTCAAGATCTGGAACAGGTCGTGGTAAGCAGAACTCCTAATGAGATCTTATTTACTTATTTATTCTGCTATGACGACAGGGCATCACAACACAGAGGTTCCTCCATCTGTATTCTTGCACAGGCCCTCTCAGGTTTAACTACAATTTGACCACCTTGATGAGAATCCTACGGGAAATTACCCAGGATGACCTGGGAACCCAAGGTCAAGGTGCCCCGGCTAACACAGGTTCTCTTAACCTTCCTGTGTGTGCAAATCTCCTCCTCCTGCCAATCGAGAGGTGCCAGGACATGATCTCTGCCTTCTAAAGCCTGGTGCTGGGATTAAAGGCATGCGCCACCATGACCCAGCTAGCTCCTTTTTTAAGAAAATAATTTAACTTTATGTGCATTGGCATGAATGTGTCAGATCCCCTAGAACTGGAGCTACAGACAGTTGTGAGTCGCCACATGGGTTATGGGAACTGAACCCGGGTCCTCTGGAAGAACAGCCAGTGCTCTTAATCACTGAGCCACCACCCAAGCTAGCTCTTATAGCTTACTTTAACCTGTTTCTCTTCATCTATATTTTGACTCGGGAGTTTTGACTTTTCTTTCTGTCTGTATGTCTGTCTCCCTTTACAGCTTTCCTCCTGGCCGGCTGGCAATAGGTCTCTCCCTTGCTTTCTTCCTCGACCCGCCCCCTGTCTCCCCTCCCCCTCCCCCTTCTCTCTCTCACACCTAGAGTCCTCCTCCCACTTAATCTCTGCCTGCCAACCCCACCTATCCCTCTACTGTTGAGCTATTGAATTTTCAGCTGTTACAGGCAGTTTCCCACCAGCCTGATCCCACAGCCGCATCAGCCCCAAATAACACACAGAGACGCTGTATTAGATATAAAGCTGTGTTTCTTATTGGCTAGCTCTGTCTTAAACATTAACCCATTTCTATCAATCTAAGTGTTTCCATGTGGTCTTATCTTATCGGAGGGTCCAAACCTCTTCTCTCAAGTCCCTCCATCTTGACTCTCTACATCTCCCAGAAGCCTCCTTGTCTCCTAGTCCCGCCTATCTTGCTTTCCTATTGGCCAATAGAGCTTTATACAGTAACCAATAAGGGAAGCACATTTACAGAATGACATCCCCCATCATTCAGCTTTTTATTAGAACAATCAGGTGCCTTAGGCAGGCGAGGTTAGACAAATGCAGTACATCTTTACACAATTAAAGGGGTATGATGTGGGACAGTGCTCTTGTTCACTGTAAAGATTTGTCACTCGTACTGTTTCAATAAAACACTGATTGGTCAGTAGCCAGGCAGGAAATATAGGTGGGGCTTTGGGCTAGGAGAATTCGGGGGAGGGGAAAGGCAGAGACACAGTTGGCAGCCAGATGCAGAGGAAGCAAGATGAGAATACCTCACTGAGAAAAATTACCAAACAATGTGGCTAAACATAAATGAGAGCTTGTTAGCAATAAGCCTGAACAATATAGGCCAAACAGTTTATAATTAATGTAAGCCTCCGTGTGTTTATTTGGAACTGAAAGACTGCAGGACTGGGCAGGACAGAAACTTGGGTTTACATGTGGCGTCTAAACATCTGGCAAGAATGTCCACATAAAAACTGACAAAAGCTTAAAAAGGATTTCTAAACTCAAAAGGACAGACTCAAGCACGACTTCTTGGTAGCAGCATTTTCTCAGGTGGGCTCTGTTTTCAAGAGGCAATCAGAGGCTTGGCTCCTTTAAGACAGGATTCCTGACTCAGCCTTAGAGGCAAAAGCCACAAGGCTCTATTAAAAGGCCCTGCCACCAAACAAGTAAATGAGGTTTATAGGCAGCCAGTAGCCATGTCTCTTGGTGGTGACATGAACATACAAACTCTGAAGAGTTGTAGCTATAAACCTGGCTCCCAGCAAAGCCTCCGCTATGAAGCTACACTCTCAGGAAGCCAAGGAATGGGGCAGAGCTGCTAACAGCTAGACATGCTGTTTAGCAGATTAAAGACTCATGTGATCAGAAAAAGATAGATAAACAGTAAAGACTGATTCAGATTTTTAAAAAAAAACAAAAACTCTAAACGTTTTACGGTGTGTTTAAAAAATATATGTAGGCCTGGGAGAGAAAAGCAAATGGATAGAGAAAGTCCTTTAAAAAGTAAGGCCAGGCAGTAGTGACACACACCTTTATTCCCAGCACTTGGGAGGCAGAAGCAGGGGGATCTCAGTGAGTTTGAGGCCAGCCTGATCTACAGGACAGCCAAAGACTATTATACAGAGAAACCTTGACCTGAAAAACCAAAGGGGGAGAAAAAAACAAATAGAGCAACAACAAACAAAAAGCCACATAAAGATGGAAAATACAGAGAGATTCTGGGTCCTGTGTGTTGTGCTGTCTTTGAGTTGTCTGACTGCTGAAGAGCAAGAAACAGCTGCCAAAAGACATTCGATTACACATGTTGCTGGATTAATCCAACATATACATTTTGAAATGCCTTTACTTCAAAATTGAAGTCAAAAGATATGTTACTTTGGAGAAGAGGCTTTGCTTTTATTTCCATAGAAAATGAGAGGCTGTGGATTCATTCTGCATTAGAAAAATAAAGTTTTGTCAAGGAAGGACCCTGAAAAATTCTCCGAAGGAAATGGATGGCCCAGATGATCCAACATTTCAGAACACCTCTGTTGCAGTTTCTTCTGAGTTCTGCATCTAGAACAGCTTCAAGGCTGCTGGTTGAGATGATCCAGCCTCTCAGAGTACTCCAGTCAGGACTCGATCATAATCCCAAATTCAGCAAGAAGTAGCCTAGAAAACTACAACCACATGCCCAAAAAATGGATTACAGATGTTTTATCATTGTTTTAACATGTTGGTTACAAGTTGTTATAGGTAATGGTCAGGAAAAAAGCTAAACAAAGGAGATTAGATTCAGGGTTCTTGTTTTGAAAAGAAAAAGGGGGAAATGATGTTGTTCACTGTAAAGATTTGTCACTCATATTGTTTAATAAAAAACACTGGTTGGTCGGTAGCCAGGCAGGAAATACAGGTGGGGCTACGGGGTAGGAGAATTCCGGGGAGAGGAAGCAGAGATGCAGTCACCAGCCAGACGCAAGGAAGCAAGCAGCTTCCCCAGGAAAAGAGGACAGGCAGAGATGCAGTCACCAGCCAGACGCAAGGAAGCAAGCAGCTTCCCCAGGAAAAGAGGACAGGCAGAGATGCAGTCACCAGCCAGATGCAAGGAAGCAAGCAGCTTCCCCAGGAAAAGAGGAGAGGCAGAGATGCAGTCACCAGCCAGACGCAAGGAAGCAAGCAGCTTCCCCAGGAAAAGAGGACAGGCAGAGATGCAGTCACCAGCCAGACGCAAGGAAGCAAGCAGCTTCCCCAGGAAAAGAGGACAGGCAGAGATGCAGTCACCAGCCAGACGCAAGGAAGCAAGCAGCTTCCCCAGGAAAAGAGGACAGGCAGAGATGCAGTCACCAGCCAGACGCAAGGAAGCAAGCAGCTTCCCCAGGAAAAGAGGACAGGCAGAGATGCAGTCACCAGCCAGACGCAAGGAAGCAAGCAGCTTCCCCAGGAAAAGAGGACAGGCAGAGATGCAGTCACCAGCCAGACGCAAGGAAGCAAGCAGCTTCCCCAGGAAAAGAGGACAGGCAGAGATGCAGTCACCAGCCAGATGCAAGGAAGCAAGCAGCTTCCCCAGGAAAAGAGGACAGGCAGAGATGCAGTCACCAGCCAGATGCAAGGAAGCAAGCAGCTTCCCCAGGAAAAGAGGACAGGCAGAGATGCAGTCACCAGCCAGATGCAAGGAAGCAAGCAGCTTCCCCAGGAAAAGAGCGCGAGCTCCTGTTTCGTCCCTCTAACATCCTTTCTCCGCCTAGCCATCTCACTTCCTGTCTGCACATACCTCCACGGTTAGCTAGTGGCAAGCTCCATCCTCTGCTCTTCAGACATGCT